AAAAAAAAAAAAAAAAAATATTAGATTATTCTTCAATATTTTTTCAAAAATAGATATGCGTCATACTAATGTCGATTCCAATTCTCAGCTGCGTTCGGGTAAAAAACTTACCTGGGAAGAATTAGCTCAACATAATAAAGCTGATGACGCCTATGTCGCTATTCGTGGCAATGTCTATGATATCACCAATTTCATAAAGAGACATCCCGGTGGTGAAGATATTTTGCTATTTGCTTCTGGAAGAGATGCAACTCAGGTATATTATTTAATTACTTAAGTATAAGATCCTATTAATATTATCACAGTATGGTTAAAGATTTTTGTAAATTTGTTTATAGGCATTCGAGACATATCATGAACTTGGAAAACCTGATCTAGTCCTTAAGTAATACTATTTTTCTGGATCGGCAAATTTTTAAATTGATACTGACCAGAATATAAATTAATCAAATTCTTGTTATAGAAAATATTTCATCGGAACTTTAATAAGTAATGAATTACCCGTTTTCTTGGAACCGAGCGAGTTTCATCGAACGGTTAAAAAGGTAAATTTTACATATATTAAATGTATATTACCGATGTTGGAACCATTTCTAATGTTTTATTAATAGAGAGTCGAAGAGTATTTTCGAGTAAATCAAATCGATCCAAAGGTAGAGCAAACCAAAATTAAATTTATTTCCTCTTTTTGTCATTCTAATTCTTCTTTTTTTTCATCCAGAATCGAATTACCATTTGGATCCGTTATGCTATTATTTTCGGCGCTTTTATTGGGTCATATAATGCTCAGTTTTTTGTTCCATACATTGTGGAGAGAACATGGTTGCAAATAATATTTGCAATTGTTTTGGGATTTGCGTCTGCTCAAGTATGTATTTAAGACAGTTTTCTGATGAATATATATAAATATTGATATTGATATTGATATATATTGTACATTCTTAATTAGATCGGATTAAATCCCCTTCATGATGCGTCCCATTTTTCAGGTTAGTGTCCTATTTATATTTCTTATTTTTTTAAGAAGCAAAATAATAAGATTGATTTTATTTGTTTCATAGTTACAAATGATCCATTTGTTTGGAAGATACTCAGTGCTACACATGATTTCTTTAATGGAGCGTCAAATCTTGTATGGATGTATCAACATAGTCTTGGTCATCACATTTACACAAACATCGAAGGTGCTGATCCGGATATAGTGACTAGTATGTTATTTGTTAAAAAAAAAGGGTTGATTTTTTATTTTTCATAATTATAATTATTATTATTAAATTTATTGTAGGCGACCCGGATATTCGAAGAATTAAATTAGGACAACGCTGGTATTCTCGTTATATAAACCAACATATATTCGTACCATTCCTTTATGGTTTATTAGCCTTTAAAGTTCGTATTCAAGATATTATTATAGTATATATAGTAGGATCTAATGATAAAATAAGGATAAACCCCCTGAATACTTGGCATACAAGTGTATTTTGGGGTGGAAAAGCATTTTTCATTTTATTTCGAATTATAATTCCTCTAACCATTATATCCGCGTGGAAGGTTGCTACACTTTTCGTGATCACCGATTTGATCACATCTTACTGGTTAGCATTAACATTTCAAGCCAACCATGTTGTGAACGAAGTAGAATGGTAAATAATAAAAGTGAATTTCATGTTCCTTTCTTTAAAAATGAGCGATTATGAATTTTTATTTAATTTTATTGTAGGCCACTTCCTGATGAAAAAGGATTAATTCAAAAAGACTGGGCAGAAATGCAAGTCGTCACCACACAAGATTATGCTCATGATTCATATTTTTGGACATCAATTGTTGGATCATTAAATTATCAAACTGTTCATCATATATTTCCTCAAATTTCTCAACATCGTTATGGCGAAATTACACCTATAGTTAAAGAAACATGTAAAGAATTTGGAATTCCATTTTATTACAAGGAAACTTTTTGGGAAGCGTTTGGATCTCATATTGAACATCTTCGTTTAATGGGGTTACCACCACAGTCAAAAGACGACATTAAATTAGATTAATGACAACAAATTTTTATTATAGAAAGTATATGTACATTATCGTATTTTAAATTTATTTGTATTTTTATATTATAAATAATAATCTAGCTTATTTATTAGGTACAACACATATTTATTTGGTTTGAATATGTAATTTAAAATAGGATATTTTCAATTTTTTAATGCATGACAATAAAACAATGAAAATAACCCCTTTTAAAAATAAAAAAAAAAAATAAAATAAAAAAAAAAAAAGAAAATTTAATTTGATTCTATAGTATTAGAAGAGGGCCCTCTACCACCTCCGGATAAAGATCTCCAAAAATTTCTAATTGAAAAACCACTTCTCATATAACGATAAAGATGAATTCCAATTCCCCAACTAAAACCTTGAAAGAACGGAAGCAAAATTTGGTGGTGAAAAATATTCATAGCAATCTCACCAAGACTAGAATTTTGTCTATGACGAAAATCTAAATTTTGACGTCTTAATAAAATTTCAGGTATATGGGTACGAGGTAAATGATTCCTATTACTATAACTGTTACTATTGCTATCATTAGCGTTTATATCTACTACTCTATTGGTTGGAGGAGTAAAATCATACAACGTCGGACTTGGTGGATCATCATCTGTTTCTACAGCTTTAGTTATAATAGGTGTTAATTGAATCCTACTTCCATCATAATCTTCATTCTCGTTGTCATCCAAAGGAGCAAGTATTTGTGAACGAGTTTCACCTGGGGCTGGCACAACAGGTAAATCAAGATCAAAGTATTCATTTCGATTCGGGGAATTTGAATTAGAATCCATAACATCTCCTGTAGGCATTGATTCTATGCTATTATTATCCTCGGAATTCTGTGAAGGTGATGAAGGCGTACGAACATCAGGACTAACAAGCATTCCACTAGACATGCTTAAAGAATTTTCTGATGCAGTATCATCACTGGTGTGAATTGAAGATACCATATGATCACTATCACCATTATCTTCCCTATTTACGAATAATAATTCTTGATCGTCATAATCTTGGTGTTCTGATGACTCAATATGTTCCAAGTCTTCTTCATCTTCATCATCTTTTGATTCTTGTTCACTTTGAGTGGTTATAATATTATCATTATCCTCTGTAACCGATAAATTCGGTTCTGTTAAAGGATCATCATTATATTCTTTATTCTTCTCAATTGCAGTTACAGAAAAAGGATCATCAATATATTCTTTATTCTTCTCAATTGCAGTTACAGAATCTGTACTTTGAGATTCCTTGTCCAATAAAGAACCCGTTGAATCTCCTGTATTCTCATTAAGAGAACCCTCGGCAGAAACTGAATTGATTTCAATTTCACTCTTTAAATTACTAATATTATCTTCTTGGCGAGTTGAGGGAATATCCATAATTTTAAAAACTACTTACTGTATCAGTATTGATCATAACATTTCAAGTTCTTAGTTTAACTAACTAACCTTAGTCTTCACTTTTATAATTTCGTATTGTTTGTTACACATGATTTGTACATCGCACGTGAACATATGATTACACACAATACAAAAAAAAAATATAAGCTTCCACTATATCTTGTGCAGTGCAGAACGAAAAGATAAACTTTAAAAAAAAGGAAATAATATACATAAAAATGTCATCCGAAGGATACGAAATTGATATACCTGTAGTCGATGAAGACGACGCAATGCTGATCGATGAAGGTATATTAAATATTATTTACTTAATGTTAAGTAGAATTATCTTGGTTGAAACCAAATATTTTTGTTTTCCTTAGTTATTAGTTTAATATTTACGTTTTATTAAGGTGCTTACGATCAGTTTTCACAGAGCCTCTAACTATTATTATAAAACCAATTTTTCTTTTTTAATTGAATTAATTTATATCTTATATTTATATTTAACCTAATTTATTAGACACTAAACCAGCAGTCAAACGAAAAGGTCGTGGTTTTGTAAACGAATCGAAAGGTAATTTGATCGATTTTTTTTTTTATTGTTATTTAAAAAAAAAAGCAATAAATAGAAATGATATTTTCTTTTAAAAAAAAAAAAATAGAGTCAAGAGATGGAGTAAGATCTGGGGATAAGTATGATCAGTTTGAATCTGCAGCAGATGATGATGCTGCCAGTGGACGCGCTCAAAGATGTAAGGATTTATAAATATTCTGTTGAATTCGTTGTAATTTTTGTTCATTAAATAAATTATCGATTTTCTCATAATTTAAGCTGTTGAAGGATGGATTGTATTAGTCGTAGGTCTTCATGAAGAAACAACAGAAGACGAAATTACGGATAAATTCGCAGATTATGGCGAAATCAAGAATTTACATCTAAATTTAGATCGAAGGACGGGTTTTGTTAAGGTACAAAATAATATTAGGAATAATTAATATTTATACACCGAATAGAATAATAATTTATAATTTAATAGGGATATGCGTTAGTTGAATATGAAACATTTAAAGAGGCAAAAAATGCAATTGATGAAGTTAATGGAACAAAGCTTCTTGGTTCTGTATTACATTGTGATTTCGCTTTTATAAGAGCACCTATTGGAAGTGGAGGTGGTGGTACATCATCCGAGAGAGATTCAAGAGATCGGGCATCTAATAAAAATAGAACGGGAGGTAGACGGCGTGGAAGATCCTCTAGTCCATCAAGAAGACATTAAAATTTAATCATAAAAATTTTATTCATAAAAAATACGATCTATAACAAAAACAAAACATATTTTATCGGAGGTGAGTGAAATTAGTCGCTTATGGTACATAATGTATCAAGAGCGTATTGTAGCAAGTTGCATTTAGTTTATTTATGTTATTAAACCATTTTCATAATTCAAAAATAAATAGAAAAGAAAGCAACAATAAATAAAGTTTTTTGTTAACCACCAAATTCCAAATGACCTTTAACAGCACTACCAACATTAGTTAAATCAATCAAAAAAGTATCATGACCATACATTGAATCTAATTCATAATAAGTAACATCTTCATTTCCACCCATTCTCAAACATTCAGCAATTTCTTTTTGTTGCCAGCAAGGAAATAAGATATCAGATTGTACACCCAATATTAATGAAGGATGTTTTATAATTGATAACCCTTGTACTAAATCTTCCAATTCATTCTTATTTACATTTGATGCTAATGATGAAATATGCTTTCTCTCACTTGTTGATTTTAGAGAAGATTTTGTGAAAGATTCTTTTGACAGTGATGATGACGTATCACATATAACATGATGTGCATCATTATGTGATCTTGCATTAAACAATTTCTTTGTATTTGCAGAACGTAGGCGTTTCAATTTTTCTAGTACGGAACCTGACATGTCAAATATATCCATTGCTTTCGATATGTAAAGTAATGAATTTGGATCATATTGCAAACAAAATCTCTCTCCCTGATGGTCTAAATATGTTTCTATTAGGAAATCAGGGCATAATGCTGGAGATTGCTCTTCGAATTGTCGCTTTCTTCCAAAGCGTTGTTCCCATTCTGGTCCAGATCGATAACTGATAGTGGCAATTTCACGTGCCAATTTCATTCCAACGTGTGGTGGTATAGAATTATAATAGAAACCTTTATTCCAATTCGGATCTGCCATTAAAACTTGTCTTTGTGTATGTCTTAAAGCAATAGAATATGGGTGTGATCGTGCACATGCGGAAATACTAATCAAGCGAGATACACGATCGGGATATAACCAAGCAGAAGCTAAAGATTGCATTCCTCCCATACTAGAACCAACACTTGCATGTAATTTATTAATTCCTAGATGATCTAATAATAAAAATTGAGCTCGGACCATATCAAAAATAGTCAAAATAGGAAATCTTGTTGCGTATTTTTCACCATCAGACGGGTCGATAGATGATGGACCTGTCGATCCATAGCATCCACCAATCACATTGGTACATATAACAAAATATTTATTCGTGTCGATCGAGAGTCCAGGTCCTATAAAATTCTCCCACCACCCAGGCTGAACATTTTTTTCATGACTTTTAGCGTGGCTGCTTCCAGATAATCCAGTTTGAATTAAAATTGCATTGTCTTTTTTTTCGTTTAATTCTCCCCATGTTTCATATGCAATGCCAAGTTCGGGTAAGACACCGCCATAATCACACAAGAACGGTTCGTTATGATGGAAAAGAGAATATCCAGAAACAATTTTGTCATAAGCTGGTTCAGGGCCTCCATCTAAAGATCGAGTACGAGTCGTCAATTGATCTATACATGGAAAACTTAAAGGAGGATTTGAACTTTTTTTCTCCCCCTCGAGTATGTTTGGTGGAAGTTCCTGTTTCTGTTGTTCTAATGAAGGTGGAAATTCAAAGCTACTTAATGGAAGTGCATTATTATCCTTCGAAGAAGTATAAAGACCTATTAATCAATAGATTATGTTATTTATTTATCGTTACTAAAGATAATATCAAAACAACGTACTTGTTCTTCGTATAAATTGTGTTGTTAAATGTTTATGAGTTAATAAATTTGTTGTTCGTTGATCGCGAAATTGTTTTGCAGTTTTTAGACAAATATTATTTGATTTTAGATGATGAAAAATATCGCGAAACAAAGTTGCCATTGCTAAATTAATTAAATTAATAAAAGATTATAATCTCTATTCATATATATAATTTTTTTTCTATACCCTAAATCATTAGTAATCTCGGTCGAAAATCTGGCTATCACGTAATATGTTTATCAAATTATGCCATTTTTGGCGCAGCTTATTAGTCAGAATCCCATAATTCAAATTATTAAATAAAAATTCGGGCATTCTATAGCATAGATTCTACATCGACTGTACTTTACAGGATCTGTATATAGTCAGTCACCCGTCTTTGTTTTCCAACTCAGACACAACGTTAAGGCTGGATGATGAAGTATAGTACTCTATCCGTAAAGGGATGTGTGGAATCAAAGATCTCCAAATTTCCTTCGGGATGTTTGGAGATTATTTGATTCCAGTTGATGAACTTGCCCATAACTTTTCCAGCTATGTGGCGAGGATAGCAGTACAGTCTGACAGTCCTAAAAAAACTTTTTTTGCTATTATTTATCGGGTTTGGGAAGGGAGAAAGAGGAAAAATAATAATCTTTTCTTTTCATTGTGAAAATTTTGCTGGCGAAATACATTAGTTATATGATATACATGATATTACATGAGATAGAACTGATCAATTACAAATAGTAAATTATTTAATATTTTTTTTTTTTTCGTTTGTAAGCCACACCAAAACAGTCTTCATATTATATAAATAAATAAAAATAATTTTTTTTTTTAACGCTGGTCTTAATTCCAATTCTCGTGAATATTAATTTTTGAAAAATTTTTAAGTATTACGTGGCCTTAATATTACCGATATTATTATACCTATCAAACAAAGACAATCAACAAATAGCAATGATATCAATGATTCTACCTAGCTTTCAACAGCAAACTAATTTATCTAAAAGTTCTTCCGGATTTTCTCAAATCCGCTTTGTCATCTTTTTCATTATCGAACAAACTCAAAAGTTCAAATAAAACGCTGTCCGTCTAGAATCAATAATAATATCTTCATAAGATAAATGATTCTGGAGCTTTTCAAGAGGATGAGGTAGTTTATCATTTTATTATTCAAATGTAAACATTTTGTGCTTTGTTTCGTTCTTTATTAAACGTTGGTATAAAGAAAAAGAAAATAACCAGATTCTCATGTTGCAATAACATTTATATATATGCTTTATTTTAGTTATATTTCGAATCTTTGGAATCGCAGGCTTTAGCTGAACCTTCTGAAGTTCCGTACATGATAGCTGGTCGTTTGTTCCTTCAAACTTCACCTGCGTTACCTCCAAATTCAAATTCAAAAAACGAAGTCATCTTTTAGCCAAAATCGTTATGATTTAAGATATTCTTTTATTACTAAACAAAATCTCATATCAAACAATAATAATTTGATATCACAATCGAGAAGAGAGTCATCCTTCATTAATACCAATGGTATTAATAACGGATATATTCAATAGATAGTTTTATTTAATATATAACCCTATATTTTCACGCTCCAGTTTGTCCTCAGTACTCGCATTTTTCCCTGTTCTTCAAGAACCTGGAGCTGACCTGACAATCCTTCTCTGTACGTCTGAGTTGCTGGCCCAGGACCTACTTCCGGATCTTCTTCCCTTTGGTCATTGGTCTGCGAGACCTTTTGTCCTCTGGTCAAAATGAATAACAATAGTACAAATATACAATCCACTAATTTACCAAGTATTACAACAGGTTCACCGAAAAAATTACCTATCAACTCGATGATATCACCTATTATGTTTCAACTTCAATAGCACCGGAATTTGAATCTTGGAAGTAACCTAGTATCTTCCGAAATGATAATATGACCTTCAACAAATATTCTTTCAAGTGTATCTCCTATCACATCTTCTTTAATGGAACTGAAAAAGAAACCCAATCACTACACACGATATCATCAAATCTGATTTCAATAAAACTATGTCAACATTTCCATCCGGAACAATTCATTCAAAGAGTCCAAGTCCAGGTCTTAAACCTAAGTTTTCAGGCATGGCGGACGAGGTTGCTAAAATATTAGCAACCATATCAAATTACCGGAGTATTCTGGAAAGAACAGCACAGTAAGGATATTAAAAGGAATATACGTAATAAATCCGATCATTAATGTAGTAAAATATATATTTTTTTTCTTTAAAAACGGCTATCATAAATTAATTTCTAAGGTCTTTAGGAATTTCGTATCGTCTGATGTTCATTGAAACAGGGTTTGATAAATTGAAAAAAGTTGTACCTTATCAGCCGATTTAAAATAGAAGTATTGATGAAGACGGAAAAATTACTAAAAAGAATAGTGGAAAGCCTAGCGAGAAAACCATTAACAAATTGTTTTATTAAAGAGGGGTATGTTAATAAATTTTCAATAAAAGACCAAAAAGGAAGGGTGAACTTGTTCAGATATTAAGAAACGAGACTGATGAGCTTAAAGCAACAAACAACGAAGAAAATTCTGTTAATAATGGGATTTTTTAATATGAAATTTAAACATTGCAATATCTAGCAATGAAAAAAAATAATATTTATACATGAACATCATTCATTAAGAAATTTGTAAATAGAGAAAAATTCCACATAATCTGCTATTTATTAGTTTTTTGTAACATAATTGCACATTATTCTTTTAACAAGTTAATTAAATTTGGTATTTTCTTTTTAATAAAGTAAATAATACTTAATTAGAAAATCAATGATTATATACATAATAAACATTTTTTTTGTCTGCAAAACGTTTCTAGGTCAATTCATAATACGCATTTTTTATTTAATATTAAAACTTTTTCACTTTTTCTACTTTTTACTAAAGTAAAAGGATAAATAGTAATTGATAATCATTCTTCCTCTTTTTCTATTGACCGTTTGTAAGCTGTGATCTTTTGTTCAATCTTATTTCTTCTCTGTTTAAGATTCAATCGATATTTCTTATACTAAATGGTAGATAATAAATTAGTTACGTATAAAATTGGTTGCTAAAAAATGTAATTAATTTACCTTCTTGGAAGCTTTGTAGTCCTTCTTCTCTGTAGGTTTAAATACAGGATCCGCACGAATATTAGCGTGTGCATCTTTATATACTTTTTCAAGATCATCCGCACCAACCCCAGCTTCAATAAACTTGGAAAATTGTTTTTTAAATTTATCATCATCTTCTTCCTGTAGAATACGCATAAAATCGGCTACATGGCCACCATAAATGTATTTACGAAGGACTTCTGTATCAAGCGTTTTTGATTCGGCATCGTAGCCAGGAAACCGATTTTCACCGTGAGGAATGAAAATACCACCATCACTTGCACCTTTAAGAGCTGCAAACACTTTAGATCCTGTAGATGTACGTTTTAAGCCTACATCCAAGAAAGCTTTAAAAGGGCGTGGAGCATCTTCAAGTTCTTCAATGGGTGCTACTTTACCGTCCGGTTCAGTGATGCCTAGATACTTGTCGGCTAATCCAAGTTTGGTGAGAACTCTTCGAGCTGCAAGCAATCCAGTGGCGTACGCTAATAATATTAAAATGTATTAGAACTAATCAATAAGCCTATAATCTTTTAATCCTTACTTACTTGCGGCCCAATTTGTAAGTCCAATTTTAATACCATATTTTTTTAATTCATGCGAATAAGCGGCCGTTAGGACAAAGTCTCCATCAAGTTTCGCATAAATAATTTGAACAATGACGTCCGTATTGGTGAAACGAACTACTAATCGGTATTTTGGAGAATTATACTTATTCTTTGCCTGTACAACAAGTCTTTTACGAGCATAATAATCGGTCTTGCCCTCTGTGAATCATAAAATAATTTAAAATTAAATATGATAAGATTTACTTGACAAATAGATAAATGAAAATTATTTAATATCTAATTCTCGATCAGATAGGAGCAAAAGACTAAAGACTTTTGATCAACAAAAAAAATTCAGCTGAACTATGATATCATCATTATAGCTAGATTAAAATAAAGTTTTGACTTCCTTTTGTTACTACAAACATGCTCGTGTTTGCAATTGAACTTACCGCGTCTTCTACGATATTTGACCTGGTATCGCTTGAAATAAGCTATTAGATAATAAAATATTATATTAATTATTGTATCAATAAAAATAAATAATAACACAATAAATTAATAATCTACCCTTATTCTTTACTGTCTTGACGAATGGCTAAAAGATTAAAGATTATCATAAGATTTTTGATTAATGCTTATTTTATTAATACGCAAAAATATCCAATTACACAAAAGAATGAATTCAAATCGATGGATGATTAATTTTAATTAAATCAAGAACATTAAAATTTACAAAATTATTATTTTTTTTTCATTATGTTTAATTATTTTGATTCTCTTTCAAATATCTCTCTGATTATCATTCAATATAAAGTGTATTTATATATTTATGAAAACTTACCATGCTGGCGAGGCAATAGACCTATTGGAAGAGGAGGAAAAAAAAAAATCAAAAAAATTTGGTTTTTATGTCACATGTCGGATCTATTGATTAGTCGTATACGTCATGAACGTTGATAATCACGTGATTTTTAAAATCATTTCTAATATAGTATAAACCGCTCAACACAATGTTACATAAACCAAATTTAGCGACACCTGCTTGAATAATGCTCAAATCAAGATGAATGGAATTTATCGCAATGTGTGTTGTGAAGATAATACGGATAATACGTTCGTCCTCCTATTTTTATTTTTTTATTTTTTATTTTTTTTTATTTATTTATTCAAGTGGTTAAAAATAACAAGTCTTCGTTTTTTTTATCTCAATAATTTTGATGATAATCAAATATAGAAATTGTACAAACTACTGAATCCCGTAATTCATGTGACTATGTGAACATGTGAACAATGTCAAGAATGGAAATTCATTTGGTAATTTCATTATCAATTTGTGTTTTCGTGTGTCATTGTTAAAAATAATTTATATAATTTATGTATTGAAGCATATTGAAGCATCCATTTATAAAAAGGAAATTTTTTATCCATGTACTTGTAAAATTATGATCGACATCACGTCTTGTGCACCATAAGTAAAGTTTTGACGGCTGTTTCTCTTTTTTTTTTCTTCCCTATAATAAAGATCGCGACCACTATAGAATATTTTTCTTTCATATAACTTCAAACGTCTTAATAAAGGTTAATAAAGCGAATAGGCGTATATTGATAAATACCATTACAATACCTATAGACTTTACTCCTCGACCTAGGTACTTTAAAAATATGGAGAAATTGATTTTAAACCAGCAGAATAGACCGCGGTTACTAGAAATTATACAGTACATCAAAAGTGCAAAAAACATCGTTGTGATCGTAGGAGCCGGAATAAGCGTGTCAGGCGGTATACCCGTAAGTAAATTTAATTCTGCACGAGCTATTTTAGAAAGGATAAAAGCTTTTATAAAGATATAACGCGCTTTAGAACATAAAAATAAAGGCTGACTGTTTTTGATATAATTATAATTTTGAATTAACTTATGTTAGGACTTCCGGTCCCCCGATGGCCTATTTGCTGAGATAATGAAACAGTATCCCGGTGTCTTCTCTTCGGGTCGCGATTTATTCGATTTATCTAGGATTTTTATATCTTCAAGGTCATTAACGACGTTTTATAAATTTATGGCTTTGTTAAAACAACAAGTCATTAGTGCAAGAGTAACGGCTACACATCATCATTTTGCAAAGCTAAATAATACTAATAAGCTTTTGCGAGTATATTCACAAAACGTTGACAATTTAGAAGAACGTGCTGGACTCACCATAAATGATTGTAATAATATACGGTCTTCCGATCGTATTGTAAAATTACATGGTGAAATTGATAACGTATGGTGTAATATATGTCATAAAACTTTCCCATTTTCGTCGGATGTTATTAATGCATTTAAAGATGGAACCCCCCCAGAATGTCAATATTGTATGGAACAAGGTGAATATCACAATTGTTTGAGATTTAAATTATTGCTATTGAAAATTTTCTCAAGTAAATTTATTTATAGCGGAGAAGGCAAAAATATCCGGGAAAAGAGTTCGAAATCCCAGAAGTCCAATGCTTCCAAGGCCAAATATATTACTGTACAATGATTTTGAAAGGACAGTTGGAGAAGAAATTGGTCGGGTCGCTTATCATGATCAACGTAAAGCTGACTGCCTATTAATAATGGGAACGTCACTTAAAGTTTCTGGATGTAAAAGTTTAGTCAAAGATTTTTCTAAAGCGGTCCACAACAGAGGCGGAAAAGTGATATTCATTAATACGACTGAAGTGGCGACAAATAATTGGGAAGGTGTTATCGACGTTCATATTCAAGGAGCGTCCGACGATTGGGCCGAACTCGTTGAGGCCGAGCTCGAAAAAGAGCCAGCAAACAAGAAAAGAAAACGATCATGCGAAGATGATGGACAGAAAATAAAAGAGGGAAAGCTAAAAAAACTTGCCAATAAAGACGATAAGGTTGTAGGAATTAGGCAAGGGCAGCCAACCCTTCAATTTAAAAAACGAAGTAAGCTTCAAGGTATTAATTTTTTATATATAAATATGCTAATGATAGATTTATAAGTTCTAATTTTCGAAAAAAAAACTAAATTAGAAGGTAAAACAAAGAGGTCCAGAGGTCGAGAAGCAGATGATAATGAAGAGGAGCGGAAAATTACCAGAAAACGACACAAATCCGCTGACAGTGACGATAAAGTTGCGGTAACGAGCAAGGTGAGCCGGAATTCGGGAAGGCGTATTAAAACACAAGGTAAGATTTATATCTAATATGATGGATATATTAAATGGCTGTGCTGAGTTTAAACAAGTTTTTTATTACATTTGTCTTATATATATATATATATATATTTATTTAAAAAAATCACTTTAGAAAATAAGCGAAGACATTAAGAACGTTAGAAATTTCACCCTTTATGATAGGGACATTGTAATTTATAATGTCGCTAATACCATCTTAGTATATAATGTTTGAACAATCAAGTAGGATATTACAATAATATAATGTTGATAGAGATAATTGTTATATAATTTTGAGAAAGTCAAAAGTAACAGTAATATTAATAGTATGATGTCCCCTAAGCTAAATTGATATAAATTAAGGACATTATATTTATATAAGAATAATTTCATGTTGCATAAAATAGAAAGTAGATTAAAATTAATGTGTAAATAATAGTTGTGACGGTTCTGGAAACCAGCACACAAAAAGTAGAAAGTAGAAAACTAGAAAAGCTGTAATAAAGCTTAGAAAAATTAATCGATTTATCATAATAAATATTTTTTTTAGTTAATATTTTGATTGTTGGTAAAATAATATATATTTTTTATATTTTTCCACGTAATTTACATGTATTTTATTCGAAAGATCATCAATGTATTTTGACAATCTTCGGATTATATCGTGCACATAACATCGAATGACAACAAATTCCGATGAAATTTGCTGCGGGTATGTAACATTTTTCAAAGTGGACGTCATCAATATGTTTCAAAAAATTGCCATTTTTGGTTACTGGCTTAAAGCTAGATAGGCATATAAATATACCTTGTGATGAACATTCAGCAAATCACAAGAGTAACTGATTGTTGACGCCCTTCATTCCCATCTACCACTCATTCTCGTTTGACCTCTCCACTTCTTATTGGACTAGAAACCACCAATACCAATACAAGCAGGTAAACTAAAGGCTGTTCACTAGCCAGGAACTTGAACTTCACAATTTCATTGAACTTTCGTTTAATTGGAGTTTACAAAAACTCTATCAAAGTTCAATACTTTGTCTTTACTAATATATATTTATTTTCATAAATTTAAAAAACATGTTTCAGACCAAATTCATCCTACTTTTCAATCATCCTTCTTTTGTGTACAAACATATTCTTTGCGATTCATCAGTTTATTCTAATATAAATGGATATTAAAGAACAACAGCCCGAAACTACTGAAGAACAAAGAGTTGCGGTGGAGGCTCAATCAAATGGCCAACCACAAGAAACCGACCAGCAACAAGACCAGCAGCAACACACAAGATATGATATTGCGTACGCTAATCTAACTCCCCCTAACCAAACTGTAGTTGTTGATCCAGTAAGTTTAATATTTCCTTAAAACGAGAATACGAACTGAAACTTAGATTTATATTCACTTGGTTTTTTTTTGTTAGTCTCTCCAGACTGATCCAACGAAATCATCTGGGTCTTTTGGCGCAGTTAATTATCATCCACCATACAGTTTGGTAAAATAAACATTTTTTAAATTTAATGCGTTTGGTATAATATCGTGTAAAAATTTAGTTTGAACTTTCCATTCAATATTTAGATTATGAGTCCAAGCCCTCATCAGTACGTTATTGGTACTTCCAGTACTCCCCCTGCAGCAACATCGGGAATGGATGAACAGGAAGAACCTCTTTATGTAAATGCTAAACAGGTAATGAAAATATTCTATTATAAAGATTTTTAAAATATCTATTTTTAAATTTTATTTTGAAATTCCTTATCAAATAGTACCACAGAATTTTGAAACGTCGAGCTGCTAGGGCAAAACTTGAAGCAGAAAATAAGATACAGAGGGGACGAAAGGTTCGTCATCTTTACTATCGTTAAAATTTCATCAAATCAATAAATGTCAATCAAACAATTAACATACGTATGTTTTATATATAGAAATACCTCCATGAATCTCGTCATAAACATGCTATGCGACGACCTCGTGGACCAGGTGGTCGCTTTCTCACTGCGGCTGAAATTGCTGAATTAGACCGACAGAAAAAGGAAGAATCGTCTTCTCAATCACAAGACACTCAACAGCAAAACGGTTCTGGAGAACCTTTGAATCAAATCATTCCGACAGTAGAGAACGGTATCAAACAAGAAGTTCACAAATGAGAAAATACTGAAAAAGTCGTATTCTCTCTTTCCTTCACTTATACTGTTAGTTAAAATTATTATTCTTTTTTTTTTAATCATCTAGAGAGAGTTTAAATTTTTTTTTTTTCTCATATTTTATTTCCTTTTTTTGGAGTGGGCGGAATTTCAGACATTTTTTTTTTTTTGTTTCAAATACAACTTCATTTATATAGACTTTTTAATACTAGTGATTAGTTACTTATTATAATACGAAGTTCTTTTAAATGTTTATTGAACTGACAATAATTGAATTATTTTCGGTTCCGAGTTTTATACGTTTATAATAACGGATTCTTTTTAATAAAATAATCTCAATTTGAATTAAAAATATTATTATTGATTTTAACATTGAATCATTTTTATTTAAAAAAAACCCTTTAATTTTTTTTCGATAATATTTTACACAGAGAAATTTCTATCTAATGGAATGAGGTATAAAAAAAAAGCGATTTAACATTTATACATTTTGCATATTAAACACAAATGGTTTTGAATGTTCTGAATAAAATGAGGAAGTATCAACATTATTATATGTATTGATATCATTGTTGAGATCTTCGCTACCTTCAACCTTAGTAGGATTGTACTTCAAATAGAAGTTAAGCCCTATAGCAAAAACTAGTGAAATACAAACCAACGGAGGTGCAAGGACATCATCTAATATAAATACATTATTATATAATTGTTATTATTATTATTAATGAACTAAGTTTAACATAAAAATTAAAACTTACCATAAGGACCAGGTTCTCGATTATTGATCATTGTAAGTCTCTTATTATATTTTATTAATGAATATATAAGCGCAGCGACACTAATAATTGCGTAAATAAATCCACACATGTACCCAACTCTATCATCACCACTAGTATTAAATAATGCTAAAGAAAATGAGCCCAACAATACACTAAATCTCATCCAGTGGAAAAAGGTTCTCTCGTTGGCAAAGAAAACTTTTGGTTCCACACGTACGGGCGTAATAATCTTATGCGGCATACTAATATTTGGTGGCAAAATAACTTCTTCGGGTCCTGAACGTTTTTTTCGTTGAAATATTTTACGAATAGTTTTAACACCCATCGGTCTTTGTTGTTCGTCCTCTTCCTCCTCTTCCTCTTCTTCGAGTAAAGAAGCATCTTCGTTACCTCTTGCTTCTTCAATATTATAGTCAACAGCTTTGCCTTTGTTTTTCCTGTCTCTTCTACCACCTACAACTTCGACGTTAATAACGTTTTTTCCTGACATGGTACGCTTTGGACGTGCTACGTGTGAAGTAGATGATTCAGGATAATCCTCCTCCTCCTCTTGTGATTGACGAGCATTCGGTGGTTTTAATATATCTTTATCAATATTTGGTAACTATATATAATAAAAAAAAAAAAATTTAAGTTAAAGCTATCAATGTAGAATGAACAAAATATACAATTAAATTTACGAACCCAATATGGAAGAGAAGGTGCATGGGAAGTAAACACTGTGGCAACTCCGTGAACATATTTCGAAAATTGAGGAGCTTCTTCAACTAAATGACTACTAACTAATTCTTTAACCCAAGCCGGCTCCTGTTCTCCTTCATCTAACTTGAGTTTGACTTCCAATACGGCGAAAGGAAATTTAGCACATTCAGTTGATGGTAATTTACTAAACATATCGCCATCAATATCATTGCGACGCCACTCATCTTCCCCACGACGGCGTGTATTGTCAAAATTATCCTCGCGAACCATATAAAAATCAGTATCGAGTGATATTCTGACATGCTGATCGCCAGGAATTTGAAATGCCATACGGTTATAATAAGTACGAAGAACAGGCGATAAGTTCTTTTCCTTGATGATATCTTGTATATCTTTGATTAGTTTTTGAAATTGTTGAATATCTTCATCTGTTTTTGAAGGATCTTCCTTCATTTTATTGATCGCTTTTTCCATTGCATATTCTCCTTTTAAGAAAGCATTAACATGCTTCTCTTTTATCAAGAATCTCTCCTTGACTTCATCTTCTCCCTGTTCACGTATTTTCCTCTCCACAAAGATGTCTTTGGTGTTCTTTTTATTACCATACCATCGTAACCTTATAATTTGATCACCAGGTTTACGATCAACTTTATCTTGATAAAGTTCAAGCACTTCATTATCGAAATATATAGAAGTAATCGAAGAATCAGTACCAGGTTTATAAACCAAAACGGGAAGATGACGAAGAATAGAAGTTTTAACTTCCATTATATTGTCCTGATGCACCCAATATTTATTCGTTTGAATTAAGGCTCTCTCTTCGGATGTAGAAGGTTTCCATGATGTCGACAAAGCTGAAAAATTAGGGGTGGATGGTCGTACATCGGATTGATCACCTAACCCTTGATGAACAATGTGATACAACCTGGAAAGTTGAACAATTATTGGCTCAAAGGTTTCTTTATAGAATGGGCACGCGTTCAAACGGACGCTGAACATGGCACGCAGATTGTAACTTGTACGTCTAGAAATAAAATAAATAAAACTCATTAGACTCGTAAGCGAATAAATTTGAAAATAATAGTTTTTTTCGCTACCTGTCGTGCTTTTTAATAATTTTCATTATGCCCGTATAATTTAAACGGGCGTATTTTGCGAGCTCATTCAGCTCCTCGGTGATGTCATTAATCTCCCGTTCAACTTCGGCATATCTATCCGGCACATTCATAGAAGGGACATTGCTTATAGATGCGACGGAATTTTCACAATGTTGAACACGACCCTTGATTTCTTCATATTTCGAGTTTTGGAAAGCATAAATCTAACAGAATAGTATAAGAGAAAAAATTGTCAATGAATTAATAATTAGCCATTGATATATACAAATGCTTTCTAATGCCGACCTTTTCCAATTCTTTGTCCAACTTCTCAACAAATTCACTCTCATCTTTTTCCGTATATCCTCCTTCCTTTTTCTCCCCCCGTTTGAGATGTTTTTTTAAACCGTCATAATCAAGATAATATTCATTCCATTCACCGTAGAGGGCCACTCGAAGCTGACTACCGAATTTCATGATTTACAACTGAATTTTTTAAAAAATTAAAGACGGAAACAGCGTACAATTTCTATTAAAAATTATAAATATTATAGTCTTATCGAATTAAATAACCAGAATATATATACGAACAGCTTCCGAATGAATTAAAAATTAATACGCCAAAACCTTTTATACTTTTTTTTTCGACTTATGATGTCGTCGTACAATTGAATTTAACCCACAGTTTATTCATTTATAAAGCTCGTGAAATCAAAATTTTTACGCCTATTTCAGCCTAAACGTTATATAGTGGAATAATCTTACTTCCGATCCAAAAAAAGATTAATCGTTGTTATAAAATAATCTTAACTCTAATAAATAATTCTCACACAAAAAAAAACATATTTGGCATATCAGATATTTGAAAGCAATGTCAATTTACCATCCATGATCATTATTAACTACAAACCAACCTCCAAAAATTTTTTTTTTTTTTTTTCTTTTATATTTCAATTATTGACCATTTTGCATATTGCCACCGTTATTATTATGAGAATTATTTCCATGACCACCACGGTACCCTCTATAATTATTCCCATATCCTCCACGACCACGACCGCGACCACGCCCACGTGATCGATTATCATATGATCGATCGTCAACTTTATTAATCTTTATTGGTTGTTGTCCAAATGTCTTTTTGTCAAATAAAGGTTAAAAAATTAAAAAAACCGTGATTAAAAAAAAAAATAAATTTAAACAAATAAAAAACTTTTGTTAATACCTGGCCATTTAATTGAATTGCATTTTCTAGTGATGCAGTATCACCAAAATCTACATATGCAAAATTTCTCTGACTGCGTGTTTCGCGATCATGTATCAAACGAACTTTAACGATCTAATTATGTTGAAAAAGATATGTAAATATGTATATTTAATGATTAATTTAAATTTAAATTTTAAATTTAAATTAAAGAATCGTTACCTGAAAACTATAACCTGACTGTGCGAAAAAATCTTTAATATCGTCCTCGCTTACAGGCGGTGTAATGTTACCAAGATAAACAGAAAGTTGGTTTTTCGAATTAGCGCGACGATTATTATTATTATTATTATTATCATATTGACTGCGATTTTGTGGTACAGTCGTATTATTATTATTGGTGCTACTAGGACCTTCTTCGCTGTTTAAACTACTATTAGTTTGAGCTTGGTTTGACTCATTCATATCTGACTGTTTCCAATTTTCTTGTTGCGTTTGTTCAGCCCAATTACTGCCACTTTCCCCATTCCCATTTGCTTGATTAATATTATTTTCTGAAACAGTGGTATTGGCGGTATCGTTATTGCTATTAATTGTAGCTATAGTATCTGTCTGGCTGCTACTACTAACATCACTTCCGGCAACTTTTGATGGAATATGTTTAGAGTTATCAATATTAGTGATAATTTTTTGTGATGTTGAACCTTCGTTTGGAGGAGATGATGACTCATTACTCCATGGTTTCCAATTATTAATCTCATTTGGTGATGTCGTCTGTGTTGGAGACGATGTCTGAGGAGCTAAAATAGGCGATGGTGCAACACCTATGTGTGATTGCTGAGGAACAAGAGCGGGAGAAGGCTGCTGCCATTGTGATGGATTCCTCCTAGTCTGACGATCCATGGGAGAAGGACTGGTAGGAGCACCAATCAGAGTACCTTGTGGTGCACCCGTAATCGGATTAATCGCTGGAGCTCGACGATAAGCGAAATTGAAACCTAAATGTAATTTATGTAATTTGTAAATAATCGATTAAAGAAATTATTACCATTAATATTTTTATGGTTTATAATATTTATCATTATAAAAATTATTCTACAAAGTATTTTGTGTTTACGTTTACGACAAATGATCAATTGGAATACCTTGTGCTTTTATTTCAGCCGAGACTCTGCCTTCTTTGATATCCAACAATACCCAACCAAATGCAGCGTCCGGTAAGTTAAAATTCCACATATTTTTAAATGTGGGTTCTTCTCTGTTAGCCGATGGAACTCTCTCTACAACAGTGAAAGCATTTTGTAAAAGAATTCTCTGAGATTCACTATACATTGATTAATAATCAGGATTTATTAACAACGTATTAAAACAAAAACATGATAAACTATAATCAAACATTAAATAATCCTTACTTGATACATCCTTCAACTTGATTCTTAACAGACTGCCACATCTCATGAAAAGTTTTTCTGGAGCTTTCTAATTTAGCACAGAAATTTGCTTGATCACTTTGTACAGAAAACTCGTTATATGAAATACCGTAACGGAAATGAAGCCCAGCAGAGATAGTAAAATCAGCCTATAAAAAAAGAAAAAATGATTTTTAAAAAATATTTTATATGCAATATTCATTCAGTTAGTATAACAAATCTTACACGTAAAACAACAGATAACTGTGCTAAGAGCCCTTCACGACCGGGACTACCATGTGTGACAAGAACCCTTGTTTCGGTTTGATCGTATACCTGAATTTATAACGTAAGAAATAATTAATGAATAAAATAGAAAATGAGATATTAAATAAACGTTACTTACTTTTTGAGCTGTGTCAACTAATTCACCAATCTGTAAAATAGTCGTCCACATAGTTCCATGTCCTCCGGCAATCGTTGCACTTCCTTTTTTGTAATAATTTATTAAACTAAAGTGTACATTCAAGAGTTACCTTGTTAGATTAATAAAATTGCTTACCTTCGCCATTATCAAAAAGTTTATGATGAACTACAGCACCACCTAATCCGAATAATCTTAAACTTACGCCACCAATGTCAATTACATAAGTATTAGCTTCATCTAAAATATTTAAATTGTGCACTTTGTATTCTCCTGTCCTGAATTTCTCTAAAACGACGACATCCTCGCATGCACCCCATACTGTGTATAATGGAACATCAAGTTTTTTCTTTCCGTCCCTGAATAGTGGAAATTCAGATAAAAGAGGCCCAGGGGACTCAAGAATTACGTTACGTAATTCTTGTGCACTTGTAGAACTATGAAGAAGTTTGATTCTTAATTGTGGAGGTATGATGGTACTATAAGTTACAAGATGCCGTAAAGTTCTAAAAATAATATTATTAGATATGAACTTTATAGTCCCTGTACTAAAAATCGAACAAGCAAAATAAAGATCCATGCTTTAATTACTTATCGCTAATTCTTCCAAGACTACTCTCGTCTGTAAAGGAAAAAATATTTATTTACTTATAGAATACAGTAAATTTAATGATATTTCAGATAACGTACCATAAAATCCGAAATCACCAGAATGAATAATAGCAATGGCACCAGTTTCTTTTGCAAGTTCATTCAATTGAGAAATATTGCCTGTTAATTTGAAATTTTTAATTAATCTTCGACATATTTTTGGACGTGTTTAAATATTGAAAGCAAGATAATCCACACCGATTGGAATTTTACTTACCTCTTACATCTGCAACACAAATAATTCTACCGGCTTCTGTACTGATTAAACCTGCGCTACCTATCGGAAGGTTAGATGTATTAACTGATATGCCATTTGGAATGTTTCGATGTACGTTGACGTGGTTCGTTGAAGGTTGTTCTGATAGAGACGCACCGTAGCCAGGCGAAATCCCTACAAAAAAAAAAGAAGAAAAATAACAATAAAAAATTAGCGCGACTGTTAATAAGTGAGTGCAATATTTTAAAAAATTTAATAAATAATGTCACAAATACCGTTTTGGCCGTTTGTCTGATATGTATTCTGAGCGTAAGTACCGTTCCAGTTACGAGCCTGTGCCGCTGATGTTGAAGCAGAGGCTTGTTCATAGCTTTGCATGTCCTGAGCTGGCATGTTATTATTTTCCCAGTTTTGGTTTACTTGGTTATTATAAGTGTTATATGGTTGATTCGGGTACTGTTGTTGCTCTGTTCGAGCGTATTCTGTCATTATAAGGAAAAATACTTGATCCCAAACTTTATTTCCTTAATAAGTATTTATGCGTTACTTTACTGGAACGAAATGGTTGAGAAACGACAAAATTCTTTGAAAAATATGGAAATTGTATAATACAGAAGATGAACACAAATGTAGGACACTGAAAAAGTCGCGAGAGTACTACGAAGAATCCAGGAGTCGCACAGTCGGTTTAAAAAAACCTAATCTCGTGATGTGTCAATTATCACGTTTACTATATTTACTATTGTTTATTGTTCATTTTATATCACAGCCAAGCCACATAATGAACTTCTAAAGCCACTGTGACAGTGTGACAAATGTGACAAAGCCACAAAAAAAAACAAGAATGCACACAAATCAGGATTGATCGTTACATTGATACTGCGGCGAGAGTCAATTCAAATAATGTTTTATGCCGACTCTCGACTCTAATCGAGGATATCACAAGATCACGCGGAAAAAATTTTTTTTTTTTTTGAACAATAGAAATCAAAAACTTAATTTTTTCCATCGAACAAAAACGGAATGAATATAATGCACAATTGCAAAAATAAACTTTCCATTTAATTGATTTTTGATTTTCACAACAAAGTAATAATAGATGATCGGAATCAATCTTTCGTATCGAAAAAAAAATAAAATTTGTGCAATAATTCGATGAACAAGCCACACTATTACCAAAGAATTATAGTATATAAAGTGTTAGGTTCAATGAAAAAATTTCTATTATAAAAAACTTCTATTACAAATATTATTTCTTTCGTAAGCAACGAAAACGAACAATTATAAGATTGTTGTGGACGTTAAAAAATTTTCTTCCTTTAAATATTCAATTGTTCTCTTTCACCCAAAAATGTAGAAAATGGGGTATGTTGCAGGGGAATTTCAAGATCTATCTACGACAATCACCTGCAGCTCCTCAGCCAATCCAATTTGAACGAAAATAATGACAAAATGTTCAAATGTTTGTTATACCAAGTTTAGAGCCCCCGTTAAAAGAAATTTTACTTTTTTACTTTTTGGTTCACTTTTCTTCAAGCCAAAAAACCACCTTTGTCCATTCGTTCTTTATTTGTAATATAGTTTCAACACAAACTTTAAAAAGTAATAATAACAAAACCCAACAAAATAAGGTTTCTCATATACTTGAAACTTGCAAATATTTTTGCAAGGAGCTATTTATAAAAAATACAATAGTAACTTCCTATTCATTGGTTTACCATATGACTTCAAACCTTGTCAAAGAAGATAATATAGCAGATATCGAATTTACACAGTTGCTTGAAGATTTTAGCTTAGCTTCCAACCTGGATAATATTAGTTCTAATCACGCTGCAACGTCAACAACAGCAGCTCAACAAAATCGAACTTCACCATTCACTATGTCTCCTCTCCTCACCTTAACTCAAAAGGAGAGTGGGAACACGAGAGATTACATTAACGATATTGTTTCTTCGTCCGTTTATCCTCCACCCGCACAGGATCCTCAAAGGGTATTACGTCAAATGATGAGCCTTTGTAAACATATTTATTCAAGAGGTTTAATTGAAGGAAGCGGAAGTGATGTAACAATTAAGGCATTTGATAAAGACTATCATTTACATAGAATCATTCTTTATCAAAATTCATATTTTTCCGTTTTACTCGAAGGTCCGTGGAAAGAAAGTGGGCAAAAAGATATAGAACTTCGATTTGATGATGAAAACATCACACGTGATGCATTTGAAATAGCACTAGGACGTTTATATGGTAGATTAGATGAAGTTATTTTACCTTCACAGGTACTGAGTCTTCTCGCTACTGCATCTTTCCTTGACCTCCAAGATTTATGTGAAATGTGTGTTGAGGTGATATTAAGAGATATTAAAGAAGATACTGTGGTACATTATTTAACTTTTGCAACTTCACATTTTTATGGTACACATTCAGAAAAGATTACGGAATCATGTTTTACTTATCTATGTAGGGAAGGATATGATAATTTGAGGCTTAGGCCTGCTTTTTTGACATTGCCCGCTGAATGGCTTAAGAGGGTGATTGAAAGTGATGCATTCTGGGTACCTAGTGAATATGAAAGGTATTTGTTTGCAAGGGATGTTGTTAGTAAAAGAAGGAAGATTGCGGCAGAACAAAAAAGACATAATTTAGTGTCTTCTTCACTAGTGAATTACACAGATTTAAGTAATTTATCTTCGGACATTTCTTTTCCCACTTCTCCCACATCACCAACAATTACAAATTCTCCCATTAAAGCAAAAAGATTTCCAGATTCGACATTCTCTTATCACACAAGAAGGTCTGCATCAGTTAGCACATTAAGTTCCATATGTTCATCAAATTCTCTGCAGGCTGAAAGCGATGAAGCAATTTATACTGCTATATTCACTTATGCAATATATTATGCTCACATGGCCTTTGAAGAATTAACTGCAATTTCACATGATTGTGACAGTATAACAAATGTCCCATTAGCTCCAGATTATATATTAAAGGACGCTCTATGGCATCAAATAGATTTGCGTAATAAGATTGAAAACGCTGCTGAAACTGATGTAACATTGGGCATATCTTCTTCCGAAATACCTCCTAGTTCGACTGGAGTTCATTTTGAAATCCCATCGGACGATACTACACATATAGGAGAAGCATTGACCGGTTTAGAGGACATGATTGGAGGTGGAACGAAAGCAATGAAGGATGGCGAAGGTAGAGGAAGTGTGGAATATTCATTATTCGCTCCTTTCAGATTCAGTGTTGAATTTGCGGATGTCGCGAAATTAAAAGAAAAACAGCGAGTTTATTCAGGAACAAAATTTTATGCAGGGTAAGTAGAAAATAACGAAAGGGAATTTATGAAATTTTGTTTATTCACTAAAAAATTTTTGATATTTGTAGATCTAATTGGAATATGTATATTCAGAAAATAAAAACTCCCCGTAAAGGTATACAACTTGGAGTATATTTGCACCGTCATTCAATGCCTGATCCAAGTTCATCTTGTGGAAATAATACAAATTCTTCTACAATGGTGAATGGATCATCCACCAATAAGAGTTCACCATCATCATCACCAGGAACCGAAGAAAGATATCGTCAAACTATTCACATGAAAATTAATAACGAAAAAAGTTTTTCAAGATATGCTGATAAGAGAAAAACGGTTAGAACTTGGTTCAAAATTTTTTGTCCTGCCAGAGGTCCTAGCCATGTTTTAACCCAGTTCCAGAGTAGTCCTGATAATTTTGCATTAATGCAAAGTTGGGTAGGTGAATTATTTTATTAATTTTATCTCGTTTCTTTTATTTTAAGTTTTTTATATTTTAGATATGCTCTTTGATTTTATAGGGATGGCGAAGTTCGAGTCTCTGTCAAGATGATTATCTTTTGGACGTTCGTGATTTTGATAGTTCATCATCATCAATAACTAATAATTCTTCTTCAACATTAAAATTTTCTGTTGTAATGGGACATGTATAAAATATGAAATATGGTTAGATTATAGTTATCACTTTTTTATAAAAATATATAATTTATAAATATCTTAGTTTAAATAGAAATCAATTTTTTTTTAATTGTATTATATAGACTAACTAAATCCAACTAAATAAATCACTATAAAGTTAAATTGTTAACCCAATTTTATAAGCATTTCTTTGCCTAGCTCTCTGCCATTTTTTTTGAAAATGTTTAATCAAAATTGCAAACCCGAAAAATAAAAATAAAAAAATAAAAAAAAATTTATTATTTCTTCTTGAATCCAAACTTAAAAGCTGATTTTTGAGTCTAAAAAAATTTTAAATTTTGTTAATTTTTAATAATTATATGTATACTTATATGTACATAAATACCTCTGAATTATCTGCGGACGATTTTCCGATTCCAAATATTAATTTTGATTTTGGCGTACTATTAGGTAAACTTACAGTTTCTGGCACGGTACTATGATTATTTGGTTGATCTATAGTCGTGGTCCAACCGTCGGATTTAAATGCTGATGACGATGATGATGAATTCCATCCACTTGTGTTACTTGTTGTTGTTGCACGTACAAACTTCCAACCACTTTGTTGGCTACTTGTTGAACTAGATGAATTAGAAGATGAACTTATATCTACAGTAGTCCAACCTCCGCCACCTCCTTCTGAACTTCTACTATTTATGGAAGATGAAATGGTGGCGATATTGCTGACTGAATTATTATTAATAATATCTTTATCAATAGATTGTTTGCTGCCTGCTCTTTGAAGTGCAGCTTGTTGCATTCTTGCCAATTCTTTTTCTTCTCTCTTACGTTCCTTTTCTCGTTTTTTATCCAATTTAGCTGTTGGGCGATTACTTTCTTTCATTTCCTTAAATCGCTATAAAAATAATAAAATTATTCATATAATAAAAATGTTTGTCTTTCTTGATAAGAATATTGATAATTATTACCTTACGATGATTATGATCGTACGAACTCAAATGGGTCTCATATTCTGAGATTTTTGTATATTGTTTATCACATAACGCGCAATAAAAAGCTGCATTGATGTTTTCTAATTCCTTTTTGATAGATTCTTGTTTTTGAACTTTATTCTATAATTAAATAATGATTTGAGAAATAAATAATCATTAAAAACTCGTTTTTTTTAAAAAAAAAGAACTCACTTGTCTTTGAACGCGTTCTTCTTCGGTTTCTTCTGCAATTTTTTCACTATCTAAAGCTTTACGTTTTGCGGTGCTAGTAGCATGATAATAATTTTCTTCTTCGAGTTTACCCACGCCTAAACTATCAGATTTAATGTCTATTCGAATTGGTTCTTTTCTACCTATTAATTGTTTAATTAAATCAGGTAAAATCAATAAATAATTAAAAAATTATCAATTATATAAATTGATGCTAATATAAATATTTAACCTTGTTGTGAACTTCCAAGACCTTGACCAGCTTTCCAACCCATTTTCATCAATAATTTATATCCTATATTACTTTCTGGTAAATGCTCATCCATACTTGCCATATCTGTACTCGACAAATCAAGATATGATTGAGGGACATGACCACGAGGAAGTGAAAAAGCATCCTCTTCTTCAAGTAAATAATCATCATTATTTTCGGTTTCCGTCTCATTTTTCTGTTAAAAAACAATATTTTGTGCGGATATAAAATGACATTTTGGAATGATGGGGAGTATAAAGAAAAAAGAGAGGCTAATGGTAATATTATGATACTTTTTTCGTGAACAAATTGTAACTTGAATATAAAAAACGCCTGCTTTTTTTAACGGATTTTTTAATAACTTTTAAACCAAAAAAAATTTTTTTATCAATATAATTTATAGTGAACTAACCTTTTTGCTATGTGTTCCTTTAGGAACTGTTGGATTTCCAGGATCGTACATTATAATTTAATAAATTCTTGAATTCTTGTATAAACTGCGTATCAATAAATTTGATCCATTTTCCTCAATATAATGTCAATACGGCAAGTTTCGTGTAACAATAATAATAAAAATCGACGGGGTGTATGATATTAACGTACGAACTGGCCCGAGTTTTAGAGTTATGCACTTGCACGAGATAGCGTTTAGCATTAAACCCCGGCCAGTTCGTACATAAATATCGTATACACACGTGACCGGTGACATTTAAGGGGATAATTTTGAGGGCAATGTGATGAATATTTTTAGGTCACGTGGGGTAGAAAATTTGTTGGTATTATTGGTGTTACCGGGGAAGATATATATAACTATTAACTACACGTCTAACGCGCTATTCAACTAGAAAATGTCAAACTTTTTTGAATTATCATCAAAACCTTGGACATGTGAAAAAATTGCGGCTCACTACTACTTTGAAGACGATGCTCGTATTTTCGATCGTATTAAAAAAAATCTTACGTTACGTCCTAACATGAAGACGAATTCGCACTGCTAAACAAAACAGCTTGTAACATCCGACTAGAAGGTATGTTTTCTGGAAAGTACTGCCATTAATAGTGACTGAAGGAACCGATATCTAGCTGGGAAACTGCTTGTCGCCTGGCCGAATTTCTTCAAAATACAGAAACCATTTTATGCTTATTTCTGCGAAAATGCTAATTATTGGTCTTTTTTTTTATAACTAAAGTGTGAAAACTTGTTTAGCCTTTGACATGATCGGGGTGAGCTTAATGATTTCTCCGGTTGCTAATCTTTTCAACAAGCACTCATTTCTTCTGTTATACAATATACAGAGAGAAGCTACCATTTCTACTTACACAGATGGAGCAAATCTATGGTGAAGACGATATTAGAGAACTTAAAGGCGTACCTATGGAACCTGAATACAATTTTAAAAAATATTTGAAGCTGATTATGAACCTACGGAGAATAAAATCCATATTTTTCTGTCATCGCAGCCACAACTAAGAGTTGCTAGCTGCATTGGAGAAACTTGAATTTTGTTTGCGAGAATTTCAACATTAGAAGAAGATGCATTGTTCTGCGAGGATGATGTATCTAAAGTAAATTGAAAATCTTTCGCATAGATATTCTTGATAACATTGACCATGTATCATCTTTTAAGCAACCCCTTGATCTGGAAAAGGATGGTGTAAGTATAAAGTTTCAACTTCCATCTGCATATTATCTGAATTCCTTATAACTTTTTTTCGCAATCATGGGCTTACCCGATTATATATTATTTTATATTATTTTGTAGACCAATCCAAGAACCCCAGAAGACAAGGTAGCTGTATTTTCAAAGTGTATAGCCCGCAATGAAAACTCTTTCTCACCTTTAGAATGTGTACAGAAAAGAACCGTTACATTTGAAGAAGAAGAGTCCTCCACCTCAGCCATGTCCTACATCCCAGCTATTCCAGTAGAGTCTCCCACTTCAATCGATCCATCTAATTCAAAATCAGCGGTGCATAACCAACCTCAATATGAAGAGGATCACACCAAGTATATTATAACTAGTGATACAACTAGAATATATATATATATATATATATATATAGGTCAGTATGAATCAACTCGCAAAGATAAATAGTTTGTAAAAATCTCATATAATTTTTTTTTACTATTGCATGTTTATTTAGCGAAAGGACAGGCCGGAAGTGCAAGATAAGTATGAAACGGATGATAATGACGAAGAAAAAACAACTTCAGAAGATAATATTGAATGGAATAAAGGTGAAGAATTGAAGATCATGAGAATAAAAATGATGGTGGAAACGATGATGTTGATAAAGAAACCTGTGCCAAAGTTGCATTTCGTCAATCATTCGAAAAAATACCAGAAACAACAAAGTTAAAATTAAGCTCTGGTAGAGTAGTTGAGGATTTACTTTTTAATTACGTAAAGGACAATGATTACGAAGAGTAAGTATTCAAAAAACTTGGCTTTTTCTATAATTCTAACACTAATACTGTATATCTTTTATATTTTTTAGTCATGCGCATTCTTTTATCATAAATTGTGATAATCAAGGTATTAGAGAGTTGTTCAATGATGAAGAATGGAAAGCATTCCTGATGTTCCATCTAATATTGCAGAAGAAATAGTCAAATACGGAAATAAAAACCTGAGAATTACGTAAGGAAGTAATGACATCATATCTGCCAGACAATGTTCCTTATGATAGTAGCCAACACCACGACTTAGAATGGATTCAAACATCAATAAGAACTATAGTGGGTCTATATGAATATTGGTATACTGTTGCTTTATTTGGAGCTTGTATATACATATTAATGCTAATTTTTTACATATCGGACGTTCCATCATATGCAAGCTCCGAAAGAGCCGTACTAAAAAATGCAAAAAAAATTGACAGGAAGGAAAATAGATGGCATTGTGTATTTGATAGAAAATTACATGAAATGGGAGCGATAGAAGGTATAAGATCTTACACTGGAGTACATGACAAAAAAATATCTAAATATTTTAAATTGCCAAAGACATCACGAGATATGCTAGTTATAGCCGTTGATTATCATGAATAAATTTCAAGTTTTTGGAATTATACACCTTGGACTAAAAATCTTTAAAAAGATCTTCCACTATATGAAGTGCCGAGTAAATTTTCTACTGATGAATTTAAAGATTTTATATATAATATAAGAGATTGCTAGCACAATACTCTCTGGTCATATTATTAAAAGAAAATTTATAAAAAGATTTTAAATGCAAATTTTTAGTTTCAATATACAAATATAAGGTAAAAAGTTTATTTTATTGTATATTTGTTTTAGTATTATTTCTAATCGTCTTGACTTTATTTAATATAGATGATAGTAAAGAATAATATACGAGTTCTATGTATGGAAGCTAATGGAAAACTTTATTGGACGAACTTTTAAACCTCAAAACACTAATTTAAAGAATCACCTACATTAAAAAGTGCATCAGCCAAAGCAATCACAGTAGCGGCATATTTAAAAATGGAAATAATAGCTATTTTATTGGTAAATTACGTGATATATAAAAGAATTATATAATAAATAATATTCAATTATGATTCCATGTAAAACTAGATGGAACAGTCATTACTATTATTTTAAAAGTTTAATTCGATCTAAACAGGCATTAAGAGTAATATAAATTTCTTAAATTTAATATTATTTGATTCATTGTATTTAGTTAATTTATTATTTCTAATAATGTTTTTTAGAATTGGCAATTCGGCATAAGCATTCACAATCTACACCAGTAGAAGCAAGTTCTTTAATATCAAATAATGCCAATGAAATTTATTTGAACAAATTGGTGGGATATAATAGAATCTTTGCAAGAAGTTTTATTACCTTATTGTGGTATTTAAAATAAGCTTCAAAGTGACAAAGCACATCTTTTTTAATTACTTCATGCTTTAAGATATTTTATTCAATTTTGAATCAGTTTTCAGATGTTGTGTTAGGCGAAAAAATGATAGAATGATTAGAAAAACAGTGGTATCAATGGAAGCAGTCATTACCATCCAAAGTATTGGCTTACATATTTCAATCCTAGGATGAAAATTTATCATTTACTACATTGAGATGTTATTTAATAATACTATTACAAAGTATGGTTTCAGAAAAAATCAACCTACTTATTGTTAGATTTTGAGAATTATCACCAAAAAATTGAACCATTTGATGATGAAACTTTTGGTCAATTTGGTGGAAATCAAGTCCTGGAAGTATATTGAAGGTGATTATAAAGAATTGGCTGGTATTGCTTTAAGAATTTTTGGAATCTATATAAATGCTGTTTCAGTAGAATGCTGAATGCATGTGGTTATCTATGGAATTTTACACACAAATCATTGTAACTGATTAAATGTAAGTTTAAATTAATAAATTTGATAATATTTATTTAAAATATATTAATTTAATTATTTTTTTAGAATGACAAAGTTTTATTAATAAGTAAACTTCATGCATCTATTAATTTTTCATTTAGAAAAAAAAAATTGCAAAAAAATGAAGTAAAAGCCTTTTGATTTAAATGCTAAACCAGTTGATGATTCTGCAGAAAATTTACAATAAAATCCTACAGATAATAATAATGAAATTATTGGAGATGAAAATATTATAACTTCTGAACATTGGAAAAATGAATTTGTTTAATAATAATCAATGTTAATAGAAGAAGAGATATCATGATTGGAAGAAGAAGTCTTCACTTTTTCCTATAATAAACTTTATCTTAAAAAGTAATCCAATATAATTTTTATCTTAAAATATTAATAATTAAACAATTAGTATACTAACTATACTTATTGTTCTAATTCAGTTTAATTATAATTAAACTTCAAAAGTACAATCAACTCCCTCTATAATCACTCCCGTTATAGTCACATTCTACTATATAGTTACACCAGTTGAATGTTCAAAACACTTTATTATTAAAATCTATCCTATATAGTCACAATCTATCTATAGTCACTATTATATATACCTATTCTCAAAAATCTTATATTAAAAAAAACCGTTTATAATCACAGTTATATAAAGAATATATAAAATAATTTGGCATCTAATAATTGTACAAAGATGTACCATAGCTTGTTAGAATTGTCTCACTGAGACAAATCAAATGGTGGTATTTTTATCCTTTTACTATCACTGGCTGATGAGTTATTCAACAAAATGTTAAACATCAGCATTATAATATTTCTTGATTTACGTTTACTGCGCCATTTAACATTTTGCTAAATTTCTTGGTACCTTGTGATTATAAAAAGACGATTAATAGCTCATTGGAATCGCCTCATCAAGACGAATCGAATGGTGGTAATCTCATCTTTCTGTGATCAATATTGACGGAGTTACTACTTAAACATTATTTATTATTTTTTAATTTCAGAAATTGATCTAGTGATTGGATTTCGGTGTATCTTATACCATTAGATTCATTTCATCAAAATGAATCGAATGGTAGTAAGCTCATCTTTCTGTGATCAATATTGACGAAGTTACTACTTAAACATTATTTATTATTTTTTAATTTCAGAAATTGATCTAGTGATTGGATTTCAGTGTATCTTATACCATTAGATTCGTCTCATCAAGACGAATCGAATGGTAGTAAGATCATCTCTCTAGGATTAATATTGGCAGAATTATTACACAAAAACCATTTGTTATTTTTTAATTTCAGAAATTAATTTAGTGATTAGATTTTGTTGTATTTTATACCATTAGAACCGTCTCATCAAGACGAATTGAATAGCGGTAAGATCATCTCTCTATGATTAATATTGGCAGAGTTACGATATAATAAAGTTTTAAGCATAATTTTGGCCAGAATTATGATATACAAATATAAGAAATTTTTATATAGTCATATCAGGACTCCACTAACTTATAATAAAGGTTACCGTAGAAAATTGGCCCTTCAATAGTTTTTGCCTTACTTTTCTTAAATTCTATTGGTTAATTAGTTAAAAAGGAAAAAAATCATAACAATGTAACATAAAATTTCCTTTTATAGTAAGATCTGCAAAGAATTTTATATATGATTTTTACCTTAGGCTTGGAGGTGACCTATCTTATAGATAAGCAGGGTTCTGTCCTATTTCTTTATAATCACCAAATATGGACTGTCCCAAATGTGTGACTATAAAGAGAGTTGACTGTATATCTCAAAATAATTTAGAATCAATAAAATATTTTGAAAGGTTAAAAAATGTAATTTTTTTAAATTGAAAATATTAGTAACTAAGGTTGCGGGCTAAACTGATTTTTGAATTTGGCAAAACGTCTAAATCTCAGTTTCGTCAATTTTTTTATAAGAGTTTATTATAGTTTTGTCATTTCATATGATTTTTATAGTCAAGTTTCGCCAAATTTTTATTAATATTTTAATATAGTTTTGTTAAGTTTTGCGTTTACTATGGGGTTTCGCCTGCAACCTTATTAGTAACTATTATTAATATTTTATTTTATTTTTTTTTATTACAAAACCCTTAAAATACTGCAAAATTAATAAAATATACTAAAAGGTAAAATTAATATCTTATAATTACAATTATATAAAAAACATAAAGTTGCAATTATCAAATATGATTAGTAAAATCTAATTGTAACTATATTTCTATGATTAAAAGGTATTTAAAAAATAAAAAAAAGGTTTATTTTAACATTTTTTTTTATTATAGGACTCTTAGGACATTTTGAAATTAATAAAATACCTTAAATTGGTTTAAAAGATATTTATTAAAAAGTAAAAAGAAAGGTTTTTTAAAATTGAAAATATTAATAACTGTTATTAATACTTCATTTTTTTTTTATTGTGAAATCTTCTAAATACTTAAAAATAGCATTAAAAGATATTTAAGGCAATTTTTTTTATTTGAAAATATTTTGCATACTAGTTTCAAAAAATCAATAAAATAATAATATAACATAAATAGATAAAAAATATAATAAAATATTAATATATTATAGTTTAATAAATAGATTTTTAAATTAATAAAATTTACAAATTGCTAATATATTTTTTTATAATCAATTCTATAAATAATGAATTATTTAATAAAAAGTTATCAATCAATATACTGATATGTTAAATAATAAATAATTTATTAAAATTTGATTGTATTTAAAATAATATTCTTATATTAAAAGCTATTGTATTTTGATTTATACTATTAATTGATTATAATTAGCAATATGCATATATTCTCTTACCAATATCTTCAATATCTTTTTAAATTACAATAATAATACCTATTAGCATCTAATTAGATACTGATTTGTTATTATCAAACCAGTAAAAATCAGCATTCTTAATATAGAACCTAGCATTTAAACAGATAGCATTCTTAATATAAAACTTAGTTTATAAATAAAATAAAAATAAGAAGAAAATAAAGGTAATTAAATTAAAAAGTGTGTAGTAATTAGGTAGTAGTAATTAGATTATATATTATAAAGTAATATTCAGATTATAGAGTAGTAATTAAATTATAGAGTAATGATTGGACTTTTTGCAAATAAAGAGGAAAAACTGCTAAAAAAAAAATTTTTTTTTTTAGTTAATGTTAATTCTAGACAAATTACAATATTTGGAGTATTTTTAATACAGTATATAAATATAAATTTAATTTTTCTGGTAGTTTTTCCCCTTTCTATTACAGAGAGTCTATGTTCAGGTTACAAAGTAGTAAAGTAGTATTCAGATTATAGAGTGGTACTATAACCTATTCTACAGTAAGTAATATATTACTTTTTGATATAATTATATTAAATAGTAGTATACCACTATATTAAATATTAAAAAAATATAAAATAAATATTTCAAATATAACTTTTAATTAAAACTTTACTAATAAAAGAATAAATTAAATAAATTTAAGAATAATTTGTATTAATTTAAATAAAAATAATTATGAATTTCATATATAATATTTAAATTGCAACATTAAGCAACTGAAGACTTTTAATATTTTAAAAAATACCAAAAAATATGCAAATTAATCATTTTTATAGCATAAAATTTTCTCAAAATCTCAAGCATTATAAATTCTTATATAATTTTTATATATTGGCTAATCATCTTGGTACTTTAAGAATTTTCTGTTAAAATTATCATAACTAGGCTATAATGTTGTAATTAGGTAGTAAATATAATAATTATACTGTTTAAAAATGGTAGGATACTGGTAGGATACTGGTAGGATTTAATTTTGTACTAAGTTTTATTTGAAAAATAAAACCACCTTTAATAATGGATTATTATGACAAATAAAAGAGCCGATACCGAGACCAATAATTTAAAGATTGATCTACACAACATAGATTTTCATTATAATTAATTAGTCTCGAAATAAAAAAAAAGTAATGTATTTATATTTAGGTTGTACGACTTTTCTATATATATAATGCGATCAAAAAAGTGTACCAATAAAAACAAATACAAAATGTTTAAAATGAATTTGTAAAAAAAATAGAACAAATTACATACTTTTACATATGTTTAATCATCCCTATATTTAACTTTTTTTTTTTTAAAAAAAAAAAAATGACGAATCTTTTTATATATTCGTTAATTTTGTGCATTTTCACGAGTTATTGTTATCACATTAAAGAGAATAATTATGTTCGCGTGTGCATAATACGTCGTTTTTGCGTTGTTAGATTAATATGGCTTATAATATTATACCAATCATAACAAGTCCGAAAGGAGTCATAAAATTCCGGCTTATCAAGCACTTTTTTTTTTTTTGATTAATAATACTTTATTGGTACAAAATGGAAGTATTCCATTTTCCGGAAGTTTACAAATTTAATTTGATTACTAAGTTGGATCGGATCAAGCAGATCGGACGTAATTATTATATATAAAGAAATGCTCGATACAAGGGAAAAAAAAAAAAAAAAAATTTGAAAATTTAAATTTCATAAATACCAAAAATCCAACCTTTTATTATCGTTTAAAAAATGTCTGTTCAAACAATTGTAATCGTTGGAGGCGGCTATGGGGGTTACGCAGTTGCCCAAAAACTTGCCAGTAAATTTAATAAATCTCAATCTCATCAAATTATTTTAATTGAAAGAAAATCTCATTTTTATCATAGTGTTGCGGGATTAAGAACGGTAGTTGAAGATGGATTTGAAGAGAAAGTATCCATTCCATATGATCACTTATTTGATAAACATGGACAGGGTAAATTAATTCATGGTACTGTAATAAAATTAAACAAAAATGATCTTATTGTAAGAACAAATGATGGAGAAGAACAAAATATCACATTCGAAATCGCCGTGATTGCTACTGGAAGTAATTATCCCCGTCCTGCTAAATTTGACGCAGAGAATAAAGAAGACGGTACTAAAGAGATTATAAGACAACGTGAAGCTGTGAAAAATGCCCAAAAAATTTTAATTGTTGGAGGCGGACCCGTCGGTATTGAATTGGCCGGTGAAATAGCATCCGTTTATGAGAATAAAAAAGAAGTTACACTTGTGCATGGAGAAGACAATTTACTTTCCCCTAATTTCCCGAATAAATTAAGAGATTCACTTGCAAACCAGCTTAAAGATTTAAACGTTAAATTAATTCTTGGGGATAGAATCGATTTTCAAAAAAATAATATCGGAGATGGATTATCGAAATTAACAATTACGACTGAAAAAGAGCAAGTTATTGAATCTGACGTACAATTTGTTGCTATTGGAGCAAAACCAAACACATCATTAGTTGAATCATTAAATGGTTCTTTAGTAGACGAAAATAGTCATTTAGTTAAAGTTAAACCAACTCTCCAATTAGATTTAAATGACGAATATAATCATATCTTTGCTATTGGAGATATCACAAATGTCCCAGAAACCAAATTAGCCTTTAGAGCTGGATTACATGCCGATTTAGTTAGCAAAAATATATCATCCTTTATAGATAATAAAAAATTGGAAGAATATAAACCTATGAAAGAAACTATGTTTGTTACTATAGGAAAGAAAGGTGGTGCAGGCCTTTTACCAATGTTTGGTGGATTGGTTGTCGGATCAATGATGGTTAGAAATTTAAAGGGAAAACATCTTTTTGTTGATAAATATCGGAAAGAACTTAATGCTCCTACACAATGAATTAATTAACTATAATTATTGTGGATAGTATGAATTTTTCTTTTTTTCTTTATAAATTAATCTAATTTTTTAAATATAACCAGTTGTTATTATTAATAATTATATTATAATTAATAAAATCAAACATTATTTTATATAATCATCTATCGCTATAATCGAATTATTCCGTTTATTATTAATAAAATACATTTCATTTAAAAAAGAGCAAATCCCAATACTGTAAACAGTTTAACTAATCAGCATTTTATGATCATACCTATTGAAAAACCAATTCTAAATTCATTTTTTTTTTTAGTAATAATATGTCTTAAATGTGTGAATGCCAATATTGTAACTTGAAAATTGTGCTGTGAGGAATTTATGATATTAAAACTTTAACTCCAAGGTATCAAATATTAATCAGAAGTATTCTTTTAGCCTTTTAAATTCTCTGCAAAGGTGATGCTCACCATAAACCGGAACTTGTATAATTCCCAGTGGGTGTGAGAAATCAATTTCTTTAAGTTACTACAAAAAGATATTTGAGAGAAGTTTTATTCTTTATTGAAAATTAGAAAGAAAATTTCAATAACAAGAGAAAAAAATTTTAAAGTTCTTTTCTCATAAAAAAAAAAAAAAATTTAAACTAAAATTCTTTCAAATAATTAAAGTTATTTGTCAGTATTGCTAAAATTTTAATCCACTCTTATATAGTCAGAATAATTTACTAGGAACACAACTTATTTATAGAAAAAATAAGCATCATCAACTGGTTTTGAGGCAATTTTGCGATTACGAGTACTTCTACGTAATCCTGTTTCTAATGAATTTGATGCTGGAGATGATGTTATTTCTTTCTTTTTTGTGGATGATGAAGGTTTTAATAAAGTAATGTTATTATTATCATCATTATCAAAACTCTCGATATTCTTAAAAGAATTTTGTGGCGATGACGATGACGAGAGTGAAGAATTAGAAATAACTGTTGAAAGATCAGAAGCTTCTTTCTTTGATAAATGAGAATTTGTATAAAATTCATTAATAAAAGCTGTCTAAAATAAAAGAATTTATGAAAAAAGAATAATAAAATGATTAAATACAATGGATTCATAAAAACTTTCTTATTAAATTCTGATATTTCGTATCGATACAATATAATTTACCTTTATACCTTGATGAATATTAGAAATGTTTTCATTCTCTAATTCTTGATTGATAATAATTTTATTTTCCTCACCTTCATTATTAACTATTATATGACTCTCACAGTCATTACCTGCGAAGAAAATATGACAAGTTACAAATATCATTAAATTATAATAAAATAATAATAATAATAATAATAAAATATTACCTTGAAAATTCAATTTATTGTCATTTTCATTTTCAATATTGTCAATAACTAAATTTTGGTTATCTATGTTCATATTATTATTTTCTTTATCAATTAGCACATCATTTTTTTCTTCAACTTCTCGCTGTTGCGGTGTTATACAAGTTGTCGATGATGGTGATGTCAACAAATTTTTTTGTCTGGGAAAATAAATGTAAAATCCTTCTAATAATTCAGGATCATCTTTAAAAAGATTTTTAACAATATCATGACAAAAACTTTCACTGATTTCTTTTCTCTTAAATGATCTCATAGTCTCGCAAAATTCATTAAATATTTTAGGTTTCTTACATCGATTCTTAACTTCTCTTAAATAGGCTAATGCAATTTCTATACCTTTTTCTTGTTTTAAATTTTGATGAGACATTTTTTTTATCTTGTTAAAACAAGAAAGGAGAAATAGTGTAAACAAAAATGATGTACAAAAAAAAAAAAAAGTTTAGTATTTATATCAAATTTAGTTATTGGTTAATTAAATTTATCTAAATTTCAATTTCGATAAATACTTTTTTGAGAAACAAAAATTGCGTTATGTAATCATGTGACTATATTACGTAATACGATTTTAATAGCGAAATTTATCAAATTTTTAAATACTATAATAATAAGCATAGTTCGTTATATGTCATGAGCATAAACTCGAATCTTTAATAAAGGAGATTTATCCAGTAATATATTGAATAAGTTGGATAAAGGTCACAGGGTATTAGAGATTACTAAAATTGATGATATATGACTATATTAAGTCGTCCCGTTGCTCTGCAGTTTTCATCCGTTTATCCATTTAGCCAATCCTCATTCAATATTTGGACGATTACCGAAATAACAATTCTTTGATTAATCATTATAATTCAAACATTTATAAAAAATCGGACCAAAAGTTGAATGTTGCAACCCAAATGCCAAAATACTCAAATACTGAATTGATTCGTAAAAATTTTTGATTAATTATAAATAAAATGATTTTACATTGAATAGCAAATTAATAATATGGTGAACTAATAATAATCAAACCTTGATAAACCAATTCTCCATATAACGACTCGGTAAACCAAAATTTTCAGCTTTATAATAAGACAATTTTCCCCAAAAATTTTTGTTAAACGGATAATAGTTTCTTAATGGATACTTTCTTTGGTGCTGCTTGTATTGTTACCGCACAGTATATATATATATATATATATAATAGCTCGATACCACCAATCTTACACCTTACTTATTCATCTGATTGAATTTTTATTATAATTTATGCAATAGATGTAAATTTTATATTCTTTTTTAACTTTAATTTCATTTCGAACCTTTTTGATATGAAAATCTATTAATCGGATAATGTCTTGCCTTATTTTTCCGATTTGTTTCTGCCTCTAATCCCATAATTTTCATTATCCCCTGCTTTATAAAGTAACTTATATTCCTTCTTTTCTGTTATTCTTTGAATTTAGCATCACGTACATCAATTATTCATGTTATTTATTGATATCTTTTTATTAGTATAAATAAAATTCACGTGAATGGTGATCTAAAAAACGCGTACATTAATAAGTGTAATAAAGGTCAAATTCAAAAATTTATAAATCAATTCTTGATGTTAAACGCACCATTTTCACAACAATCTTCCAATCTTTCTTCTTTGTTCGATTCTAATATAGTATGTATGTAGCTGTTTATTGTTTACAATAAATATTAAAATTACAATAAGTATTAAATATATTTAGTTTCAAGTGAAGAAATATTCGTTACCACTTTTATAAACTAGAATATTTCGTTCGTCATATGGTCGTCAAGTTTAAAAGGACATATACATTATACAATATAAATAAGAATTTTTTAATATCGAACAAGTATTCTAAGAATTTTTCTGCAAAATTCTCAAAAAAATGACTGCAGTAATTGCAGTATTGCAGTATTTGCAGTATTTTCATGAAAGATTGAAAGATGTAAGGGTTGTGAGTCAACCAAGTAAATAAAAGCAATCAACTATATAAATAGTTAATAGTTTAATATATACTTTTAGATGCATGGGTTGAATCAGATTCTAAAATTCGATTCTCACCTATAAAAAAAGAACATTTTTTTTTTTTTATTTATACTTGGTTGTCCCAACTTAAGTTCTTTATTGGTGTGCTTCGAACAATTTTAATAATAACGACCAACCTCAATGTAACATGTGAAATCAATATAAATCTTTAATCCATGCAGATTTATTTATTAAAAAAATTGATCATCTTTTATCAATAAACTAAATTGGAATTTATTTTAAACATTCATATTCGTTTGTTTTTTTTTCGTGTAATATCATCTTTTTTTGGATTATGTATAATGAATATAATAGCAGATAGTAATAGTACTATATTCAGTATAGCGAAAAGTAATTCGGGTAAATAATTTCCGAGTTTCCTAATCAATTGATTTTCAATAATGATTTTACATCAGGGAACATAAAAAATGTCGCGTTTTAAAAATGATCATCTTATTTAATTAATGAGATTTTATGATCTATTTATTTAATTAATGAGAAGTTCTCCTTGTTTTTAAGGAAAATAATTTAAATATTTAAATATACGCGTTAAGTAATTTTGAACAAATTCATTATTGTTCTTATTTTTCTTATTTTAATCATTATAATTCTTTAATTGTTGAAATTTTTCATAGAACTGCGGTAAACGCCAGAATTATGCTGCGGTAAATGAAGTGCAGTGTATTGTCACAATGAATTACTTCTAGAATTCCACCACTTTTCATGTTGTTTATTTGTCCATCACCCATGTTGTGAAATATCACAACTTTTACAATTTAAGTCAAAATTTATTTTTATACGACAATATTATGAATTTAATGTCACTATGAAGTTCTATTCAATACTAATTTAAGAAATATTTAATTTAATCGTAAGGGAAAATCCGGCAATTTTAATGTTCTGAATGTTCTAAAAAAGGTAAACTAAAGTTTTATTTGGCAATAAGATCGAAAGTTACAATGTTCTCGCAGTAATTATGGGTAAAATTTAACCGATGTATGATTAATTTAATACCAAAAGGGTCCAACTTATGACCGAACCGAAGTAATGTTTGGTAGCACACATCTCATCCGCAATCTCCCCGTCAAAAAAATAATGCGTGGGTTTGATTGAACTTTAAAATAAAACCAATCTAATACTTTTTTCGTTGTATTTTTCCGCAGTATACATAAATAATAAATTAAAAATTTTTTGATTTCCTAATCGTGTGTCAACGTTACACTTTTTAATCATTCCTTTAAAATATTATATGTATATAAATGTCAGCTATTCAGTTCTTTTGTTCTTTACACGGGAGTAAAAAAATTCTTTTTTTCAATGAATTTCTGATTAAATCTTTTTTACCACTCCGGTGAAAAATTAGAATTCTATTTTTGCTCTTAAAGAATTCATAATATTAATCATTGATAATTACCGTCTTGATTTATTTTGATCTTTGAGATCAAGAGACGATAATTATTTAAATATTGCCCTCTCTCTTGTGGAAAAAAAAAAAAATTCTTTTTACGTATATAATAAATTAATAAAATTTAACATGACAGATTTAAAAGATCAAAATAATCCAGAAGTTATACCTAGTGAAACTAGTGAAGAAATTATTGTTAAAGAGAGGTCTACAACCTGTCTCTTATACACATCTAGATGTGTATAAGAGACAGGTTATACCTAGTGAAACTAGTGAAGAAATTATTGTTAAAGAGAGGTCTACAACTGCTGTGATAACCTCAACTGATTCACCTACAGAAAAATCACAAACATCATCATCCGATGAGAAAACAGTTAATGATGTTGATTTCTCTGTAGTTGATGCTTTACCCCCACAATCAAATAATGATGATATTAATCAAGATGAATCATTAAAATCAACTGAAAAAGGTGAAAAAACAAAAGACAGTAAGAAAAAAGATAAAGATAATAAAAATGATGATAAATTACCTTTCTCTCAATTGTTTCGTTATGCTTCCGCGATTGATAAATTATATATGATACTAGGTATTATTTTTCTTCATAATTACATAAATACTTTGTATTTCTGTTAATTTTACTCATGTTATAATTTAATTTTATTATTTTTATAAGGATCAATTTGTGCATTGGCTAATGGTGTCGCAATTCCACTTATGACAATTATTTTTTCCGATTTCATTCAAGTTTTTATTGCTTTTAACACTGCCTTACTTTCAGGAATTGAGCTTGATTCTAAAAGAACTGAATTAGATGATGGCATTAAAAAGAATTCAATTTACTTTATCATTCTTGGTTGTGGAGTTTTCGTTTGTGCTTATGGTCAAATGTTTTTTTGGATGACTGCTGGTGAAAACCAAGCAAAGAGAATCCGTCAATTATATTACTCTTCAATTCTTCGTCAAGATATAGCTTTCTTTGATACTGTACCAACTGGTGATGTTACCACTCGCATATCTGGTGATGTAAATATTTACCAAGAAGGTATCTCGGAAAAAGTTGGTTTAATCACTCAACAATTTGCTGTCTTCATTTCCGGTTTTGCAATCGCTTACTCCAAAGGTAAGGAAAGTTAATTTTTTTACCCCATTATATGAATATAAAGGTTAATAATAAAATATTGTATTAGGATGGAAACTGTCACTTGTACTTACCGCTATAATTCCACTTCTTGCTATCGCTGGTGGTGTAATGGCCAAAGCCATTTCTGATGATGCTTCTAAAGGGCAAGGTATATTTATTACTGTCATGTTTAAGAGATTATTTCGTAATTTACACGTGAATTGTATGTATAATTCATTCTTATTTTTATAGATTCATACGCTGCAGCCGGGGCTGTTGCTGAACAAGTCTTATCCGGAATTCGAACTGTTATTTCATTCGGTGGTGAGAAACGCGAACTTGCTCGTTACAAGAATAAATTAGATGATGCATATAAAACTGGCGTTAAGAAAGCTTTTATATCTGGTACCGGTCTTGGCGCGATGATGGGTATTATGTTTGGAAGTTATGGCTTGGCTTTCTGGTTTGGAAGTATACTCGTTGTCCGTGGTGAACAAACCGGCGGTGAAGTTTTAAACGTTTTCTTTGCCATTATCATGGGTGGTACGTGATATTATATAACTTTTTGTTTTAAAGAAAGAAATTCTCTTTTTTTTTAAAAAAAAAAATTTTGTTTTCTTTGAATAGCTTTCTCTATTGGAAATGCAGCGCCACATTTCTCGTCTGTGGCAAACGCGTTAGGTGCAGCTAAAAATCTTTTTTCTGTCATTGAAAGAGTTCCTATTATAGATTCATCCTTAAACACAGGCAAAAAAATAAATAAATCCGAGTTTAAAGGACACATCGAATTCAAAAATATCAATTTTCATTATCCATCACGTCCCGATGTACAAGTTTTAAAAGATTTTAGTTTGACAATTGAACCTGGTCAAACTGTTGCTCTTGTTGGTAGTTCAGGAAGTGGTAAATCAACTATTGTTGGTTTATTAGAAAGATTTTACAATCCTATTAGTGGAAGTATTACTTTAGATGGTGAAGATATTAAGAATTTAAATGTTAAATCTTTAAGGACTCAAATTGGTCTAGTAGGTCAAGAACCTGTTCTCTTTCCTGAAAGTATTAAACAAAATGTATTTTGGGGTGCTGATCCTTCTGAAAAAGAACCAACTTTGGACGATGTTATTGAAGCATGTAAGAAATCTAATGCTCATGATTTCATTAATGAATTACCAAAGAAATATGATACTTTAGTTGGTGAAAAGGGTGCTCTATTATCTGGTGGTCAAAAACAACGGTAATAATTTCACTTTTTTACTGCGCCACAAGAAATTTCACACGTTTAATTAATAATATTTTATAAATCATTTATAGTATCGCAATTGCTCGTGCTTTAATTAAAGATCCTCCATTATTACTACTCGACGAAGCTACATCTGCTCTTGATACTGAATCCGAAAGACTTGTACAAACGGCACTCGATAATGCTTCAACAAATCGGACTACAATCGTAATTGCCCATCGTTTATCAACTATTAAACATGCTGATAAAATTGTTGTAATGTCTAAAGGTGAAATCATTGAAATTGGTCGTCATGATGAACTAATTGCCAAAGAAGGTGTTTACTATGGTCTTGTTAGAGCTCAAGAATTAAAAACTGAACAAAATAATGAAGACGACGACGAAAATGATGATGATTCAAGTTTAAGCAGTAAAACTGAGAATGACATAGCTATAAATTTTGATGAAAAACATGAAAAGCATCATAATTTAACTCGTGTAACAACAAAAGCTTCGACTGTAAGATCCGGTGTTAAATCAGAAAAGGAAATCCTTGAAGAATCTGAAAAGGAAAAATTAAACCAAAAAATGCCACTTGCAAGAGTATTTAGAGCAAATTTACCTGAAATATACCTCATAATCATTGGAACTATCGCATCAACTGTTAATGGAGCTATCATGCCACTGTTCTCATTAGTTTTCGCTTCCATTTTAGAAGTATTTTCAAATGTTAATCAGTAAGTAATAAATAAATTAGATAGTTTAACAATTAATAATTAAAATTAAAGATGTTTATCTTTTTTTTTCTTAGACCTGAAAAACTTCGAAGAGATGCAAATTTCTGGGCTGGAATGTTTGGAATTCTTGCTTTGGTTGCATTATTATGCAATTTTTTCCAACTTGCATGTTTCATGATTTCAGCCGAGAGACTTACAAGGAGATTACGTCTCTTAACTTTTGAAGCGCTTATGAAACAAGAAATTGGTTTTTTTGATGATGAAAAGAATGGTACTGGCATCTTGACATCGAAATTGGCTGTAGATGCCAGTAAAATAGAAGGTTTAACTGGTTAGTTGTGTGTTCTATTATCATATAAATTAGTAACAGCATGTTTATTTATATATACAGTCTATTAAAAAAAAAAATCGGTTTATTAGGTTCTTTAATGGGCAATATACTTCAAAATATGGCAAATATCGGGATCGGTCTTGTAAGTCGAAGTTTAATTTATTATTTGAAATTTCCTTAAAAAAGAAATTTATTAATCTACTTTTCAAATAGGGACTCGCGTTTGCCTTTGGCTGGAAACTTACTTTTGTTATCATTGCCGCATCTCCTGTCGTTGCTATTTCTGGATTTTTGGAAATGAAAGCTCTTGCAGGTTTCGGTGCAAAGGTATATGCGTGTGTGCATTTTTTTTTTTTGTTTATAAATTTTAGCTAAAAAAAACTTTAAAATTATTAGACGCGTAAAGCTTATGAAGGTACCGGACAAATTGTTCAACAAAGTGTTTCCAATATGAGAACAATTTCAGCTCTTACCAGGGAAGAAACATTCAAAACTATGTACGCTGATGCTATTAGAGAACCTCACAAGATTGCAATTAAAGGATGTATCCTATCATCTGTTGGATTTGGATGTTCTCAAGGTTCATTATACTTTATTTGGTCTCTTGCTTTCTGGTACGGAGGTCAATTAGTTATGTCAGGAGAATACAACGTGTAAGTACCTTCATTTAAAGGAAAAAAAAACGCAATGATATTTATGTATTAACGCTTATTATTTTTGTCCCAAAGTCAACAAATGTTGAGAGTATTATTTGCAGTAGTTTTTTCCGCTATGGCTGTCGGTCAAATGAGGTTATTAGAACACTTATTTAGTTATTCAGTGTTTGACTATTTTTTTTTTTCGAAAAAAATTTCAATATTAATTTTTTTTTTCGCTTTTAATAGTACATTTGCACCAAATACTGCAAAAGCAAAAGTTGCAGCAATTTCAATTTTTGAAGTTCTTGATCGTAAACCAGAAATTGATGCTACGGATAATGAAGGAAAAGATCGACCTACACCAGTTAAAGGAGAAGCAAAATTTGAGGGAGTACATTTTAATTATCCAGCGAGACCTGATGTACACATTCTTAGAGGATTGGATATGTCAATTTATTCTGGTAAAACAATTGCGTTAGTTGGATCATCAGGATCTGGCAAATCAACTGTTATAGCATTATTACTTAGATGGTATGACGTTAATTCTGGAAAAGTTGATGTAGAAAAAGTTGATGTAAAAAATTGGAATCTTGAATATTTAAGATCCAATATTTCATTAGTTGGACAAGAACCTGTATTATTTGATTTAACTATAGGGGAGAATATTGCTTATGGTAAAGAAGGATGTTCACAAGAAGAAATTGAACAAGCATCAAAAAATGCAAATATTTATAATTTTATTACGAGTTTACCTGATAAATATGACACAAGAGTGGGAGAAAAAGGTACCCAATTATCAGGTGGACAAAAACAACGTATAGCTATCGCAAGAGCATTAATTCGGTCACCAAAATTATTATTACTTGATGAAGCCACCTCAGCTTTAGATTCGGAATCCGAAAAAGTAGTGCAAAATGCTTTAGATAAAGCTTCTAAAAATAGAACCACACTTACTATTGCACATCGTTTATCCACTATACAAGATGCTGATTTAATTTTAGTTTGTAAGAAAGGTAAAATTATTGAAAGTGGTAAACATATGGAATTAATTTCACAACAAGGTTTATATTATGAATTAGTTAATAAGCAGACTTTAATAAAAAAGAAATAAATATAGATCATATTCCTTATAAATAGATTAATATTTTAGTAATAATCACTATAATCTCTAGGACATTTTTTTTTCATATAATATTTTAATATTTTTTTCTTAGTAAGATGATATAGCTTGAAAATTTCTTATAGGATTTTTTCTCAAAGTTTAAATAAAAAAGTTTCAATTTAGGGATCAAAAAAAAAATGAATATAAAAAATTATTCGTAATAAATACTAATTGATTTATTTATATGTATTTTAATCCGCGGATATACGGATATACCTTTTAATGGAACGCAGCAAAATAATGATATTAGTAATAAACTCTTTATACAAGCAACTAAATTTACCTGGAATAAGAAAAGCATAATCGTTCAGTACTTCAGTGTGACCCGGTATTGCATTTGTACTACAATTATAACACGAGGTATAAATCTACTTTTTTATCATAAAAGCACACAAAGCATACAGTAATATATATGCACATTATATTAAAGATATTAAATATATAATTATTATAAAAATTATTATATCATTATTATATTATTTATTTGTTATAAATTAAACACAAGATAAATCTTTTCTTGCCGTATTTAATAAATCATTTACCTGATTAATTATATCAACATTTTCAGCACCTTCATTATGTGTAATATTCAAAACTTTTTGAGCGCATTCTAAAATATTAATAGATTCTTTAACAGATTCTAAACCATTTGTAATATCATTCCAATAACATTTTCCCAAAGTAAATAAATGTAAACCAATCATTGGATGATATCTAGGATAAATTATTAAATAAATTGAAAGAATATAATTTCCAAGAATTGTTGATTGATACCATTGTTGTAAATCAATTTTATCATAAAATAATTTTGTAGTAAATGAAAATGAAGAAATATAAAATAAATTTGTTTTTGAATAATTTTGAAATAATATTGAAATTATCTCAGATAATGAATTTATATAATCATTATCTGTCGTATTATTTTTTATATGTGATAATAAATTTGATAATATTAACTTTGTTACTTTAGAAAATTTTGATTCATTTTGTTCTAATTTAGATTCTGATGATACCCAATTTTCAAGTGATGTATTAAAATCTTTTTTCGTAATTTCTTGATCTTTTTCTTCAATTAATTGATCAATTTTAGAAAATATACCAGAACATCTTTCTTGAACAGAACATCTTGAACATTGACATTCAAAGAAATATTTTTCTTGTAACATTTTCTTTCGAGTCACTCTATCTAACGCTACATCAATATAAGAAATATTAATTTCTTCCCCAACATTTATAACTTCGATACATTTAATTATTTGTACTGCACCATCATACATTACGATCGCATTCGGTCGACAAGAATGATTAAACAATGATCCTATTGGGAATCTAAAAAAAAAAGGAAACCGATCAGCAAAAAAAAAGAATGAAAGAATAAAATAAAATGATTTATACATACGTTCCTTCCCCGTATACAAATAATTGATTATCATGTAAATTAAAATTATTACAATAAAATACACATAAATAATTAATTAAATCATCTTTAGAGATCTTATTGAAATTTAAATTTTCATATGTATTATTAGAAATTTTTTCAAAAGATTTTAAATTATTAATAGATTGTTCTGTTCTATGAGTCATTAATTTTAAGAATGTTTCAAATAAATAATTTTCATTATTATTATTATTATTAAAAAATTTTTCAATTAAAATTGTAACTCTTTTTAACATTTCTTCATCCATATTATTTTTTGATTTTTTATAAAGAGGACAAAGTAATTTATGATGTGATATCCAAGATGATTTTTGACATGATCTATCGCAATAATAAACTCTTTGACATTTTGAACATGTTTGTAAATTATTTTCCTTCTTTTTTAAACATTGATCACATCTAATTTTATTATATGTTAAAATTGGAAATGATATTAAAGGATGTGATATAATTATCGTTTTTCCTATATCAATTTTTTTATTCGTAATTATTGAACGAAATTTATTTTCATTTTCTACTAATGATAATCCATTTTGAGATAAAAAAGTTTCCATTTTTTTTTGAGTCAAAAAAAAAAAAAATTTTTTTTAAACAGAAATCATTGTTACACGGATCGTGATATCACGTGTGTGGTATATAGCTTATTATCAGTAATTCAGTATCATAAAAAGTATATTTTAACTTATTGTTTCTTTTTACGAACTTCCTACTCTTTCTATGAAAGATACTGTACATTCGACGTTCTCGAAAAGCACATTCCCAAATAATGATCAAATTGGTCAAATCCTCGGATTAATGCATCTAAATTGGGGTGACAAATATTTTTAGGGGTTGTTGAAAATCATTAATAATTGGCGTAACTTACAGAAAAAAAAAAATTTCTGTAAAATGTCTAACGAAGTATCCTCAAAATTAAATTTAATTATTTTAGAATGTTTTGATGATATATTTTCAAATTTTGAAAGGGATACGAAAGCATTATATTCATTTCTTTTAGTTAATCGGTTTTGGTGTAAAATTATAATTCCATTATTATGGAAATATCCATTTTCGATCACATCAAAAGGAAAAGAAATTAAGACATTATCATCATTACTCACCGAGGAAGAAAAATTAGAAATTATTAAAGAAGGAATTAATTTACCACCAAAAGATTTCTCTTCAATGTTATTTAATTATGCTTTATATATAAGAGAATATAATACTTCAACACTTTATCAATCAATTGAAGGATGGTATAAAGAAATTGTTTATAATGATTTTTATTTTAGAATTTCTTATACAACTCGTGTTAAAGCTCAATTAAAAATTATTTTTAAGGTATTTACAAAATTAATCATGAAAAATTCAACCAATATTAAAAATCTTTCCCTTTTATCTCCTATTATTCAAAATGATATACCTGATGTCAATATTTTTATTAATTCTCAACCTGGATTTAAAAACATTGAAAATTTTGAATGGAATATTTCTTTTGATGCTCCTAATTTATTTTTTCTTATAAAATCACTTGAAAATATTTCTCATAACATTCAAGATTTAAGAATTTATGATAGTAATAGAATGTTATATAATATAAGTAACAATGATAATTATATTGATTTAATTGTATCATTAATTAAAGCACAACATAATCTTACTTTTGTTTCATTTGATAGATTTGGTCCTGAGTTTGCCCCTATTCTTAAAATATTATCCATTCATTCAATTTCTTTAACCACTTTACAATTAAGTCATATTTCTAATGGTATATCATTAGCTCCAATTCAACAAATTAAAAATTTACAAAACTTTAGTTTATATAAATGTGATAATTTAAATGAAATTATTTTTAATGATTTTACTAAAACTGATTTTAATTTAAAATCATTAAATATAGGCTTAGTAAAAGAAAATGTTTTTAAATCTTTTCTTAAATTAACTAATAGAAATTTAGAAAAAATTTCCTTTGTTCTTAATAATACTTCAAATAAGATAGATGTTCAAGATCTTTTTATTAGATGTCCAAATATTTTTGATTTAAAAATTATGTTTAGATGTAAAATTGATTTACTTTTTTTATCAATATTGGCAAATAATTTAACATACTTAACACATCTTACTCTTCATACTTATAATCATTATGGAAATGAAATTTTAATTGAATTAAGTAAACCTATTTTACCAAAATTAAAATTTCTTAATATTAGATTACCTGAACTTAATATTTTAAAAAATTATTTAAAAATAACTATTTCACCTTTAGAAAAAATTTTTTTTATTTATAGTAGTAAAATTAATATAGATTATATTAATATTTTATTGGAATTTTCTAAAAAAAAGAAAACTTTAAAAATAATTGGAATTAGTTTAAATTCTGATGATGATAATTTTAAAAATTTTGTAAAAATAACAAAAGATTATTTACGAATTATTAATATTTTTAATAATATATTTATAAAGATCTAGTAGTATTATTTTTATATATTGTTTAAATAATCTTACATTCTGTCAAGTTAATTTATATTAATTATAAGTTTATTAATTAGATTTTTTTTTTATAATATTAAAAAAAAATGTTTATTAATAATTTTAAAATTATTTATTTGGTTATTTTATATAAAATTTTACAATTACTAATTTTTATTTTAGTAAAATTTGAATCAATTTTACTTTTTAAAAAAAGGAATAATTAGAAATAAAGGATTAAAATAAACAAAAGAAATAAATAAAGTTAAATGAAAAAAAATGAAGAAAAATAAAATTTGAACAAAAAGAAATAAAATTAAACAAAAAGAAATAAAAAGAAATAAAAAAAAAACAATTAATAAAAAAAAAAAAAAATTAGTTAATATTATTTTAAAATAAAATAATAAGAAAAAAAGTTTTATTTACTTTATTTTTTATAGTTAAAGTTATTTAAAAAGCCATTTCAAAATCAACTAAAAAGAATATAGTTAATAAAAGCAAATATAACAGAAAATAAATAAAATATTATCAGTATTATACTTCTCCGCTAATTAATTACATTGTATTTTGGCAAACGAATCAATTCACTATTTATTATAAAATTACTATGAATTAATTATGTCTGTCAAAATACATTACATCTGTCAAAATAAATTTAATTAGTATTTTGACATTTTGACGAAAAGTATAATCAGTATTTAAATTTTAATAATTGTAAATTATTTTTTTTCTGATTTATATAATTTTTATATCATTATTTATTTTTCTCTAAAGTTTTATTTTATTGCACCGTAATCTATAAATATAAAATTTAATATTATAAGTAAAATACAATAATAATAATATTAAAAAATATATATACATACTAATAAATGATTTTTTTTTTAAAAAAAACAGCTCTTTTAATGCAATTTATATTAAAGGAATTATAATATCAGTAATATACATTTTTTCACTTTATTTATTTATAAATTCAAGTGTAAATACTAAATTTAACTAATTATTTTCTCTAATATAATAATTTAAAATTGTAATATTATATTATTATAATAAATTATAATTCTTACACTATATTAAAAATATTTGTAGTAATTTTTTTAAGTTTTTTATCATTTTTTATTATGTATTAATTTTCTAAGTAAAGTTATTTCATTTTTTTTATAAAATTATAATACAGTCAACTCTCTTTATAGTCACACATTTGGGACAGTCCATATTTGGTGATTATAAAGAGATGTGACTATATAAAAAATTTCTTATATTAGTATATCATAATTCCGGCCAAAAATTAACATAATTTTAGCCAGAATTATACTTAAAACTTTATTGTATCGTAACTTCGCCAATATTAATCGTAGAGAGATGATCTTACCGCCATTCGATTCGTCTTGATGAGACGGTTCTAATGGTATAAAATACGTCGAAATCCAATCACTAGATTAATTTCCGAAATTAAAAAAATATTAATGGTTTTTGTGTAATAACTCTGCCAATATTGATCCTAGAAAGACGATCTTACTACCATTCGATTCGTCTTGATGAGACGAATCTAATGGTATAAGATACATCGAAATCCAATCACTAGATCAATTTCCGAAATTAAAAAATATTAAATGGTTTTTAAGTAATAACTCCGTCAATATTGATCACAGAGAGATGAGCTTACCACCATTCGATTCGTCTCGATGAGGCGATTCCAACGAGCTATAAATCGTCTTTTTACAATCACTAGGTACTGAGAAATCTAGCAAAATGTTAAATGGCGCAGTAAACGTAAATCAAGAAATATTATAATGCCGATGTTTAACATTTTGTTGAATAACTCATCAGCCAGTGATCGGAAAAGGATAAAACTACCACCATTCGATTCGTCTCAGTGAGACGATTCTAACAAGCTATGATACATCTTTGTACGATTATTAGATGCCAAGTTATTTAATATATTCTTTATATAACTGTGATTATAAACGGTTCTTTTTAATATAAGATTTTTGAGGATAGGTGTGATAGTGACTATAGATAGATTGTGACTATATAGGATAGTTTTTAATAATAAAGTGTTTTGAACATTCAACTGGTGTGACTATATAGTAGAATGTGACTATAACGGGAGTGACTATAGAGGGAGTTGACTGTATTGTTTTTTAATTAAAAAAGTTTAATAATTATATTTTTTACTGGTTTTCTAAATTGTTTATGTATATTTTTTATTTTTTAATATTAAATTATTATTAATATTATATGATCCTAAATATTAAAAATAAGATTATTTGGCTAAGAATAACTCATTTTAAATAATATCTACCTATTGAGTTACTCATCACTCAACAGTATATAGTAATAATAGTATATAAAATACAATTATATATAATAATAGTAGTTTTTAGATTATTATTTTTATGTATATTTTTCTATTACCTTTTACTTTAATAAAATTGCAAATAAACTGTAATAGAAAAAAAAAATTATTGTTATTACTAATAATTCCATTAGCTAATAAAATTTTCATATTAAATTTTTTAAGATCAAATACTTTTTATATTTTGGTAAAGTTTGATTAAAAGAAAGTTAAATCTTATAAAAATAAAAATTATTAAATTATAAATATTATTATAAGTAATTTTACCTTTTTGAAGGTGTTTTTTATATAATCTATATTTTTTTTTTTTTATTGCTATTGTAAAATATGAATTAAACCAAAATTAATATATTTGAATTTTAAAAATATATAATATAAATAATATATATACCATTTTAATACTTCTTATCTATCTATACTTTCAAACGAAAGATTAAACTGGCACAATAAAATTTATTAGTTCAGCTGATAATATATTTTATTTTATATTTATGCATGCATATATATCAGAATATGACAATATGTAAAACTATAATTCCCAGACGGCCGTACTGTGAATAATAATTTTACATATCTTTCAAAAAATATTCTTCACTGTTTTCCACAGGCTCAAATATTTTATTAAATAAATGTGCCATCATCATTTAGCATAAATAAAAAATATTTTGAATAATATTAATAAATAATTTACCTGTTTAAGAATATAAGAAAGTTTTCTATTTTATTACCATTAAATAAACCTATATTTTATAAATTATAAAACCATAGAGTTATTAATTTCTATATTCTAAATAAAATTATATTTATCTGCAATATATAATTTTTACTTATCTTAATTTGCTTTAGTATTATAATTTAAAACACCATAATTAATTTGGAATGCCAATTTGGAATGCCATAATCAATTTGGAATGCCAATTTGGAATGCCATAATCAATTTGAGGTGCCATAATTAATTTGGAATGCTATGATAATTTGGGATTTGGGATTTACCTAATATATTTTTGGTAGTATGGTGATTGTAAATAATATTTATTAAAGAAAATTTTTCAAAAAAAAAAAGATTTTAAGAAATAAAAATAAGCAATAAGTAATAATATTAGATTCATACCTGTATTCCAAAAATATATTTCTACTATCTATCCTAGTTGGCTAATATAGAAGCAGATACTTTTGTAAAAAACCCATTTATATAATGGCCAATCTGCATATCAACCATTTTTTGAAACCTTTGGCATTTTGATAAGATGTAGTTACTTTGAATCCTTTATTTTGAATAAGATTTCACAGGATCTTTTCTTAATATATGACCATTCTGTATAACTCTAAGAACTTATTTATAATCTCTGCTTTTGATTATAAATTGGAGTTGTACGAAAATTTGGCTGATAAAGCTGACGATTTTGAATTAATGAGAGGGTGGCATTGTTTGACCATTGAATGTAAAAATTTACAACTCCAATTCCACCATCAATGTAAAGTTGATTGAAGTGTAATTGCCTTCCTTTAAAATTGAAAATACCCATATTTTCATGTATAATTTACCCTCAATATATATTATCCAGTAAATAGTTTACTATAATCTCCATCTCCTTTTCACTTCTCTTTACCAAAATTATTATGATTCACTTACAGCAATGTGTTGATTTATGATAATGTGAATGTGTTTTTTGGGTAAAAGAAAGGTGCAAGATTAAATAAATAAGTATTCAGTATTATTGAAAAAAAAATTAAAATGAAATAATTCTGTTCTTTGTTTTCGAAACTTGTATAAAAAATTCAATAAGAATGATGAATATAATTCAGTAAAAATGAACGACTATTTAAAAGGAGAATCTAACCTGAGAGTTGAAATTTGAGTATATATATAGAAATTCGAGTATATATAAGAAAAACCTATTGTTGTACAAATCAGAGACACTACGCAAATATAGTATAATTACGGGTGTAATAGCAACTGCACCGCGAGTTCGACACGTGAAGATGCTTTATTTGATATACTGCGCCGCAAATGTATCGTTCTTATACGATCAGCTGCTATGTTCTTATACGACGTTATGTCACATAATATAGGTCGTATAAGATAGTATGTCGTACACGTATAAGAACGATACATTTGCTACTGCGCCAGACCTTTGCTGTGCCGTTACATGTGACGAGATTCATGTGATCATGACGAAAGATCAATATGCCAAAATATAACAAGAAGAGTAATATGTTCGTTTTATTTTGTAATATCTTTATAGCCGAAAAATGGTTAGCATCGTGATGACATGTTTCAAGAAGATAGCCGAGTATTAAAATCAGACATACCTTATATTGCTTTGCAAAATATATTCGTTCGTATGATTGTAAATATCGATGATGCATATAATGATAAGTTAGATTGATTTGATTAGTTTCGTTCGATATTATTTTTACTTGCATGAGGTAGATAAAAGGATTCACTAACCAGGACATCACCTTTTTATATCATTCGTAGGATCGAAATTACGTTAATATAATCACATCACGAAATCTGATCAACGTTAATTAAACTTAATGCTATTCATAAGAAAAGAACTTCAACGGTTAACGTTAATTCATACGGCAAATCTTTAGGAAAAAAGGGACTGATGGGTATTTTTCTGATGGTCGAGCATATGTCACAAGGGCGCAGAATAAATTTCGAATACATGTGACACCTGCGGACACCTTAGAAATCTTTAAATTAGTAACTATACTGCATATAAACTTACCTTCACATAAAATAAATACTGCATATAAACTTACGGATCTGATAAAAATTTAGTAACATTTTAAAACAATTTAATTACTAATAATAAATTAGTAGATCCAGCAATTTGGTTTATTAAGAAAGAAATATTTATATAAACTAACCGTATTTATTTATAATAGTACATCGATCAATACTTGGTTATTGTTCAGTTGAGACATCCAATGTTAAAATCGTTATTAGTAACATTTAATTCCTATTGGTCACCACAGTATTCCTAATGACAAAACTATAATTTAATTATTGGAGGGATATCAGTCGAAGATCGAACCCCATCCAATAACTATTTATAAATAAATTTTTATGAGAATCACTAAAAGCTTAACATAATAACGCTACAATATTACATTGTCGTAAACAACTTTGTGGCAGACAACTTTTGTGGCTTGTTGCGTGACACATTGCGCAGTATGCACGAATCTGCACATTAAATCTTTGACACTGGACCGTTAAATCTACCAATGAGTAAAGAATGGTATTAATATGACAACAATGTACATCAAATGGAATAATCATAAAACTTTTTTCAGAGATTTTGATTCTTTATATATAATCGAAATAATTCTTTATGAATCCGGAGTTTCAAGTCCATTCATTAATTTCATTTTCATATTAGGTAATTTAGTTCTTATATTAATTATTATTACTGTGGTCAAGATTGATCAAATCCTTTGTCTTTAATTATTTCATTTAGTCTTTCAAAGAAAGAATACTTTAGAAATTCTTTATATCATAATAAAAAAGAAAAATGGGTATCATTATTATCAAAATAATAAAAAAAAAAAGAATTGTTATTATTGATAATATGAAACAATTAAATACATAATTACTATCAACAAAAAGCCCGAATGAGGACCAAAATAAACTTTTATTTCCTTTTTGAAAATATTAAGGTAGAAAAAAAGAATTAATGCATAATAATCCTCAGCAAAAAGGTAATCTAAAAAAAGGAATGGAAAAACTAAAATTCCAATTCCAATTAATAAATACATCATCAGCATATGAAGAAGATGAAATACACATATCTAAGGAGTTATTTTTAGAGAATTTTTATTAAGAGGGAGATAAAATAATGATTGACAAAAAAAACTAAAATCGCGGAAAATCGGTGTAACAGCAAACAAATTACGCCATTTACGTCATTCATAATTCAAAAAATGAAGATTTGATTGGGTACGGCATAAAGATTCAACCGAAAAGATATCTAAAAATTAACCGGATGATCCGAATACTGCGGAAAATGAAATTTTTTATTCTTTCAATAAAGAAATGTTTTTCTTTTTTTAAATTTATTAGAATTTTTAATTTTTAAAATACAAATGACAAATTTTGAATTGTTTTTACTTCTTTTTTTTTAAAAAATAAAATAAATAAAAGAATAATAAATTAGTAAAAAAAAAAATAAAAAAAAANAAAAAAAAAAAAAAAAAATCATCCAAAAAATATTACATCATTATATGAAGAATGATTTTAAGGAATATTATTGAAAGAATGAAAAACATTTAAGTGGGTTTCTAATCTATATAAATAAAATAAAGTATATTATTAATCCTCGGTAACCTATTAAACACAAATTTACATTTATAGAATGCTTACAAACCCAGCCAGCTTATCAATTCATAATTATTGTATATCTATATACGTTGTATAAAGAAAAATACTATATAACTGATATAATATTATATTATATATACCGTATATATATAATTTTTACTGTAATAAACTTTATACTAATACAAATTAAAACAAACAAAAAAATATTTATCCGATCTGATAACTTTTGCAAATTTTCACGCAGTGATCAATTTTTTTTTTTAGAGGTATGAAGAGATGTTTTTGTAACGGTGTAACCATATGTCATTTGGCATAATTAGAGAATGTTTACTATTATAGAAAAAAAAAAAAAAAAGTAACAAAAAAAAACCCCAACAAATTATTAAAAAATATGCAAGATAGATTATTTTTGGGTTGATCTGTACTGCGGTTATTTTAAGAAGATTCTTTAATATTAAAACCGATTTTTTATTTATATTATTATAAATCTATCTTGGCAAAGTAAACATTACTATAAAACTTTAAATTTTTTTAGAACCAATATTTTTACGATCATCGTGTTACCTTGACTGAATAAGTAAATAAATGAAAATTAAATCTCCTATCAAATTTTTTTTAGGGGTGATTTTCATTTCTTTCATTTTTTTTTTTTTTTTGGCGTTAATTCATTGATCAATATAATATGAATAAAATAAGAAATACGAATTAATTAGTAAATTTTATGATTTTATGATGTATTTTCGGAAACTAAACTGCGATAATATTTATTCAATTTCCTTTTATATTTTTTAGAGTTTAAAATATGAAATGATATACAACTTACTCTACACATGAATTATGCATGAAACACGAATTAAGATTCACCGCAGAATCAAATGATTTACTAATTGAGTTAATTTGTTCACAAGAAAATTCTTTACATTGTTTTCCCCAAACAATTTATTTCAATATAAAAAATTTTATTATAATAATACGTGTATATATAATATACGTGTATAATATATATTATATACGCATATACATATATAATTATACTGTACATACATATACATATATTATATATACAGCATACCTATTGTATTTTGTACTCTAAATAATTAAAACAAAGAAAATAATTCAAAAATGAATCACAACATTTTCCGCAGTATCCATTGCCAATACGCAGTACATTAACCATAATCAATAAAAACAATGTTATTTATTATAAATCTTAATATATTTTGTATCACAGAAATTTGTCAAATTTTAGAAGTGAAATTCGGAAAAGTGAAATAATTAATTAACCTAATTTAGAGTATTATGAAAGATATTTAATTTTAATCTGATAAAAAAGAATTTAATGGAAGCTTACGACATTTCACGTGTTCATTACGTGTTTAATTTGCATGTTCGCTTTGAATAAAAAAAAATGATGAAAAAGTAAAGTAATTCATTCGAAAGCAAAACATACGTGTTATATAAGGTTTTAATAATCTTTGTTTTTTTTTAATTCTTATTCTTAGATTTTTTTTTGGTGTTTTTTCTTTTTTTTTTTTTTTTTTTTTTTTTTTT